GTGTGTGCCTTCTTGGATGTGTGCCGTTGCAAGCTAGGCAAAGGTACCGGAACTCTTACGCGGGAGGAAGGGAACGCCGCCCAAGGTAGCGGGTCAGGTCCCCTGCCCCTTCCGCTCATGTACCTGCATGGGTAGTGTGGAGCTACGGCTACATGGCGGGCTCCTCAGGCAGTACATGGTAGTGCCTGCTGTGTCAGTACCACCATGCCAAAAGTGCTACTATGGGCCAGCCCGGGGGGAAAGAGGGCTCCACCTGAAGCCCGGCCTGCCTGCAGCCCATGTCCAACAGCCTTCTCTCCTGCCGTATGACATTTATTGTACTGTACATAGTACTATTACTATGGTACAACAGGAGAGCCGCGGCTCGGGGGAAACCTGCCCGTCCAGTCGCGTTAAACAAGACTGTCAACTCCTCGGTACAAAAGTTTACTATGACTATGTAGGATGCATTGATCCGTGAAACGTCGCAGTTCGTTCGTCCCGCACGCCATCAGCCGGTGTGCATCTACTACACTATTTCCCCTGACCTCCGCGCAGGTTCTGTTTTCAGCCGGCGATGAGGTGCGTAGGCTGGTGGGCTGGTGTGACCTCAGCATTTTTTTTCTGGGGTGGGTTCGGAATCGCCTCTCTCTGCCTCTCTCTTTTCTTTGCTGGGGGGGGGGGGGGAGGGTGGGGTTTCTCTTCTTTCTTTTTCTTTGTCTCGAACCCTGCACGAGCGCTCGCCTGCAGCTTCTCTTGGAGCGGGATCCCTCGCTTCATTTTGGTTTTGGCCCCTCGTCTCGCTTAGCAGCTTTCGGCAATATTCCAGAATCTTTTCTTTTCTTCTTCTTCTTCTTCTTCTTCTTCTTCTTCTTCTCCTCCTCCTCTTTTCGCCTGATGGATCAGGAGGCAGGTGGAGAGTAAGAGGATTCAATCCTCTTTGTCCCTATGCTGTGGGTCAGCAGGGGTACATGGCATCTCCATTCAGACCGGCCCGTCTCCCATACCCTGCGTCTAGGCGACTTTGTTGGTGCGGAACCGGTGAACTGACTTGAGTTACCATGAACCCTTCACGGTTAAAATTGAAGGCGTGTGTGTGTGTGTTTCTCTCGACTGTCGTTGCTAAAAAGTTTTCACTATTATTGTACTTGTTTAATTGGTCGTTACTGGCTGCACGCACTGTACTTGCCTAGTAATACATACTGTGGCGGGGATCGCTCCTGCTGCACCCGCCGCCGCCGCCGCCTTGTGGCTGTCGAATTACGGGGACCTCATAAAGTGAGACCTGATATTTAGAACGTAATTCTGCGAGTGTGCTAACCTATTGCCAAAACTGTTGGAGACATTCACGAGAATAGAGACATGTTCGTTCAGGCCCCTTGAGCAGACCATACTGTGCTAGTTGAGCCAGACACGCCGCAAAATTTCCCCCTTTTCACACGCCTTGTCTCAACATCTGGTATTTTCCCTCTTGCATCCGTGCCTTACAGATAGATCGGTCCCTCCTCCAGAGGCTGTGCCGAACGGTTCCAGTCTATTTCTTTTTCGGCCGCCAAGATTACTGCTGCCTGGATCTACCGCTGCCCCGACGGTACGTAGTATACATGTGTTGCTGGGCCGTCTGAGGCTTACCTACACGAGTGAGAGACAAACGGAGAGAATGGGTTCCTCGGAAGGGGGGGGGGGGCTTTGATCACGAGCCAGGTCGCCGGAAGGAAAGGGCAGAGCAAGAGAGAATAGAGAAGGGGGGGAGCTTAGCCTCACATGATCAGCCCCTTCCAACCCGCCCTCCTCCCGAGGTGCCGTGGACCCGAAACGTTTTGTGGTCAGGATAAGCTCAACTATGGTACACAATCATCAAGACTGAATAGGATATCCCACGCAGACAAGACCCGAAGGGATGGGACGGGCGGGGATGTGGCAAGATGACTAAGGCTCTCTACGCTGCGGACCGCAGGTCAGCAATAAGCTGCACCGGGGGCGTGGGGGTGGGTAAAAAAAAACAAAAAAAACGTGGGCGTAAGCGTCACAGGGTACAGGTACAGTACTTTGCTTTCTTTGTTTGTGTCTACGTGTGTCTGTGTTTGTGATAGGACGGGGCTCGGAAGGAGCGGATGGGGTTCAAAAAAAAATAAAGGAGAAGGGGAGGGGGAGGGGCGGTTGGAATGTCTCTGCAGCCCTGTTCTGGCTGACTTCGTCGCCGAGCAGTCACCGATGAGATGGTGAATGCTCACGCCGGTGCCGTGTCTTGGTGGGTGCTGACGTCCGATGGTGGTGGTGGTGGTGGTGTAAGGAGAGTGGGATTGTTACTGTAGTCCACCATCCAGATGCTCAGCTCCCACACCATAACAAGCACGTAGTAGTTGGGTATCGTGACCAGTTTCACTTTTCTTTTTCTCTCCTTCCCCCCTTTCAAGGCCCGAGGCTTAGCCAGAGGGGGAAGCTTGTTTGTCATACGAAGCTGGAATGCATGATACCTCGGCTGGGGCATGGCCTGGCTTGAGGGCCGTGCAGCCTAGCTGGGCCTCGTACAACGGGATACACAGCAGGAAGAGACAATGCACGGCATGAGGTCGTATTCTTTACCACCCAGCCGCGGCTGGCATGTGGTTGGTTGGGTGGTGAGTCGTGTGTGTGTGTGTGTGTGTGTGTGTGTGTGTGTGTGTGCGCGTATGTGGATGTGGTAGGACCGATTTACAGGGGGGAATTTGGATGATGTGTTGCTAAGGACGCACTGCGTTTTCTTGACGCAGGTCATCATCTCTATTCTTGGATGCGTGCCGTTCAGGCGCTGTAATTCGTCCAATGGGACCTCGCTCACTCGCCTTGTCGCTAAAGCGCCACGCTTCCCAAACCCTCGGGTTGCTCTTCCGGATCTGGGGGCTTGCAGCATGCAGCAGCTAGAGGCGTTGCTGTCTTGTGGGCGCCGATTTGAGAAGTGACACAGCCTCTCAGCGCAAGGGTTTATGTTCTTTTTTCTTCTTTCCTTTTCCCACCCCCTTACTAATACTATCTATAAAAAAAATAAGCCAATCATTTGACTGGAAATATCAGAAGCAGAGAAGCCTCTTCCGAAGATCCGACCAATGCTTATCCTTTCCTCCCCCAAGAAACAGTCAGCTGGGTCTGTCGCTCTTGACGCATCGTATAGCCTGCAACAACTAATTAGTAGTTTCGCGTTGTGGCTAATGCGCGACGTCAGGGGGTTGTACCCAACCTAATAAGCACCAGCGAACGAGAATCAGCAGCTCTGGCAGTCACCGGCACCCACCTTCCTTCTCCCAGGGCTCGATGACTCAATCTGTGGATATGACCTCTTTTTGTCTTCTTCTGTGCGTGAAGGTTGCACCGGCTTGACCGCAGGGACAAGCTCGGAGAAGTAGTCATGACAAGGACGAGGATGATGATTACCAGGCACGATACCGACCACGTGTGCATAGGGGGCGTGATAGGCTGTGCTCTGCACGTCTGACGGCGTGCAGTCCACGCTTGGCCATGCACGCATTCTTCACCGGTCAGGGTCCATACGCAAGGTTCTTGTGTTTTATTTCAACACCCGGCGAAAAGGACAAGCGCTTCTTGATCCCACTTATGACATGACGTCTTGCGCCCCCGGGCGGATTTGGCTCGGAGGTTGATTTAATGGGTGATGACAATGGAGTGACAGAGAAAGCCTCGCATCACTCCGTCAGAATGCACCGACCATAAAGCTCTTTGCTGATGGTCGTCATCACTATGCCCCTGGGAAGGACGAAAAGAACGAAGAAAAAGAAGTTGCCTGGTCAGTGACGCCTGTCGACCCCCCTCCTCTTCTCTCTGATTATCGCCATAAGACTGTTTCAGACCCAAGCGAGAGAGTGGCTGGAGACTGTAATTCGTGGAACAGGGAATCTTGTGATAAGTACACCTTGTCGTCATGACGATCCTTCAACATCTACACGCGCTCCTCCTTCTCAAAGCCTCGCTGTGGCCGATGCAATGATAGCAGTTGTCATCTCACTCCACCATTCTTCAGGGTTCTTGTGTCTTGAGTCATCAACAGGAGAGTGTCCCCTCTCCCAGCTAATCCGATTCACAGCTTTGAGGGAGCGGGAAGTCAAACATGAGTCGGTGGGGATCCAGCCGTAACCCAAACACTACTAAGGACACCAAAACGCCATGAACACTTGCTCACCACAACTCCCGAGAGGGATGTCCCTGCATGTGTTGCCTACACTCCGCCGCCCCGAGGGCAGGGAGGGGGGCGGGCTGCAGCGGCTGCGACCGCGAGAGGAGTTGTCATGTACACACTATACATTTTGTTCTAGATGTGTTCTGTCGGCTGGCGATGATGATGTTCAGGGCTTGGCTGCATGCTCCCCTGGTTTAGTCAGTAACTGGGAGGGGGCCAGAAGGCCAGAGATCGTCCCGTCCCGCCGCCTCTGTGGCTCGCCTCTCACTCTTCATTCTCTTTTCGTGTGTGTTGCCTAGGCCGCCCGCCGCGCCTCCGGGAAGGACGAGCTCCGCGCGGGTGTAACGCGGCCACGTTCAGCGAGGACGACTCGTGGCTGAGACCAGGATCTTCCAAGTGACATGGCCCCCCTCCCCCTTTTTCACTTTTCATTCTTTACGGCCAGCCTCAGTTTACACCAAGTACAAAGGACCTCAGCTGCACTTTGTCGCACGTACTGTAAATGGCAAGATAGAGCGAGACTCCCTATTTCTCTGCTGGACGATAATAGGCACGGCTGTAATGTTTCCCGAGACATGCTCAATAGTTCTGTTTGAAAGGAGCAGACGTAAGAAGAAAGAAGCCTGAGCGCTCCGCACCCTAGCTGTTCGTGAGCACCCCAGCTTGAGCAGTTGAGTGGTGAGGAAGGTGCCTCTCAGTCAGTCTGCCATTGTGGCTGTCCAGTCTCATCTACTTGTGTGCTGTGCGTGACAGGTGCTACGGTTTGAGTACCCGCCAAGAACCGCCAATCCCCCTCCCCCCTTCCCCAGCTGGGCCCCCAACACGTGGCAGGGCTTCTAGAAGGGGCTGGCTAGCTAGTCGGCTTGCCACGAGGTCGCTTATCGTCTTTGCTGCTGCTGCTGCTGCTGCTGCTGCTGCTACTACTGCTACTACTACTAGTACTGCTGCTGAGTGGCCAACCTCGCAGGGCAACCTCGCTATACGATGGGATGTAATGCGACGCAGATGCTGCAGAGTACCAAATTTATCGTGCATCTCATCTCCCTTTGGGGTTTTGGTGACGGGACCTTGCATAAACTGATCCCAGGCGACAGACCCCTGAAGACGACGAGGAGGGAAGACCAGGAAGAGAGGTACGTACCGTGGAGGGTACAGCAGCAACTGTAAAACTACCAAGTTTATTATGTATGGCTGCGGGCGGCTTGCTGTTGCTGGTGGTGCTACGTTTGAGCCCCCTGCGCCTCTGGAAATTGGGCTTTCTGCAGGAACCCCACTCCTTCCAGAACAATTCCAGGGCTGCAGGGGCGACCTACCCGACAGTGCGGAGTGGGTCGCTCCGCAGAAATGAGGTGGACTGGGGTCCCACCGCGAGGGTCCTGATCTCATCTCGTCCGCCCCAGTGCTTGAGGTTAGGTGAGCTGTCCTTTTCGCCGTCCCTGGCTGCCTGACACGAGCGCTGTTAAGACATGGAAGAAATAAGCCACCCATTCACTCACTGGCGAGCGAAACGCCCCTCGACGGGATGGTACGATATTCTAGAAAGACACCCAATAGCCCACACATAGCTGAGAAAGAAAGGGCAAGAGAGATCTATGCCGAGACACTACGGTCGTACCTCCACCAAGAGGAGACAGAAAAGAAGAAACCAGAAGGAGAAGAGAATGGCGAGACTATTCTTAGAAAACCACGCTGTTGTGTACCATCACTAGCAGCCGCCAATGTCAGGTTCCGGAGGCTGACTGGGCTGACGACCCAGATGAACTAGACTGACATCATACGCAGTATGACAGCAGATCGCGTGAAGGCAACCCTCCTGTTCTCTCTTTCTCGCGCTTTTCAGAAGTGACGACAGGCAAATCAGGTGCCAGCAGTCCAGACCGAGGCAAGGGGATAGGGCCGAACCGACCAGGCTGAGGCTCACCTCTCTGTCGGCCGGTTTGTCTCAGCTATTATTTCGCCATGCAGAGACTTGCTCGCTGTACCAACGTACGTTGCAGGCAAGCAAGCCATCGTGTCTTACCTGGGAGACGTAGTAGTGTTCACCATCCTACAGATCACATCATGACTGCTCAGTAACAGCAGATCCAACCCCAACCGACGAATTTGGTTGACTGACTGACTGACTGGTTGATTGCTTCCCTGGCTTGACCGCACACATATCATAATCGTCATCATCATCATAACATCATCATCGGGAAACCCGATCTCAGCGAGTGGTTATACGGCCCTATTAGCCTCGTGAAGACTCCCGGAAGACGATCCCGTCCACATGGCGGCACCACCAAGAATCCACCCTCATCTTATATACCATACTACTGGACCTTCTACAAACTAGCAGTAGTTACCATCTCAGTAGTATAAGGCTGGGAGAACACCGGATCGAACGTCAAGGGAACGTGGGGCCCCTTTCCCATGTGGGACGAGGTGTCAGAACCGTTGCGACGGTAGTATATGCGGTTCAGCGTACTGTGGTGTTGGGTGGCGGTTCCTTCGTTTTGGGGGGGGGGGGGAACAGGGGACGGGGGGCCGTGGCATGTTCGCATGGTCGCATGTACCTCTCGCTCCTGGGCTAGACCCACAGGTACTTGCCCTCCCAGAACGAGGTACAAGCGGAGCCCACGGACGGTACTTCCACCGCAGAACCACATGGAGAACCTGGAGTGCAGGCTGGGACTAAAACACGCCATCCTGAAAGGGAAGCTGTTCCTGCATTAGCACGTCCGCCCTCTGCCTTCTGCCCTCCTCCTCCCCTGCACCCTGATCTTGACCTGGAACCTGGCATCTTTCTTGTCATCCCCCATGAACACAATACAGACATACACACACAAACATGCACATACGTACACATGCATCATCGGCATCATCAAACTTTCCTTGGATCTGGGTTCCTCTCAATGCATACTGTGCCAAACCTGACCTCATCGATTTGGCCAGGGCCCTGTTCAGCCTGTCCTAATCGCTACGTGCTCCACTATCTTCTCTCTTATGTTTGTCTTCGTCTCGTTCCCACCACGGGGCAATGTCTTGCTTTGCCTCTATACCCCCGTAGTGTTCGCCCACCCGGTCGGTAAAGACACAAAGAGGCATCGTCGAACTTTTGAAACAGGAGAAAACTATGCACAAATGGGATCCGAGTAGGCCCGCCCGCCTGGCGTAGCCCTCTTGCTATCGGTAGCAGACAAGACCGAGGATGGGGAATTCCATTGGTTAGCCTTTCGCTTAACACACTTTTTTTTCCCCGAACGCCAATGACATCCTCTCGGAATCACTTCCTGTTGATCGGGCCCCAGGGCAGACTGCATGATCTAGCCAACCGGTGTGCGTACCCACCATTGTGACTGACTGGTCCCCGCCGGCCTCGCGGCCTCTTAAGAAAGAGAGGTGGAGAGAGAGAGAGAGAGAGGCCTCTCATCCCCCCTTCAACGCATCCACCACGAGCAGCAGCGGACCGTCACATGTTTTTCTAGGCTTCTCTCGTGTCCCCTTCCACATCCGACTTCCGAAGCGCCTGTCACCGGAGGATAACCTCGCTGTAGGCGATGCCTCACAGTGCAATCAACACGCATTACCTTGGATACTACCGTATTCATGGGGATCCACATGCTTCTGGAAGGTCGGTATCTACGGTCCACTGCGGAGCCTACCAAAAGGGCGATTCACGAATGAAACTCCTCAGTCCCTGTCGAGACTTATGGATTTGACCGACTCTTCCAAATCATTGTTGTCTAAACATGGACAATGAGAGTTTCAGAGACTATGCGGACCCATCAAGAACCCTCGATTCATGTGAGCTCTGGCGCATCAATAGAGTCAAGGCAGGACCCATCGACCGAGAGAATCACTGCTTGGGTTGCACGGGGCGGTGGACGCTCGGTGCTTGCACCTCAAGGTAGCAGTACGGGACGTGAATCCTTCAGGAACTACTGGGGACCCTGAAAAGCGTCAACATGGCACCACCAGGCTCGCGATGTTCCGAGCGAGAGAGACCAAAAGGTGCTGGAAACCCAGAGGCCAACAATTGATACCGGCAGCCCGGGTCTGGGAGCCTTGTCGGCATGGCAACACGGGGCAGCACAGCTTCCGTGCCACAGGCATACTTATCATCGCTTGAGAAATTTGACAGCCGTCAGATTAGCCATTCGGTGAGAACGAAGAAGCGGTGGGGCCGCAACGTTCATCAAGTCCCCATCATAACCCAGTGTCGTGGGTTCTGGTTTTTGCCCTGGCCTGCCTTTTTGGGGTGAATTAAGAAACTTCGTTCTGAAAACGTGCGCATTTGCCACAAAAAGGAGCCTCCCCAAGGGACATTATGAACGCTTTGCAAGCAGGAGAAACCCGTGATCTGCATCTTCATATGAAGACATTCACACGGGGCGAAATGGGGACCCGCCGGCCATGCGACGGCTATGTGTGCTAGTGGAGCAAGTCCTAGGCTCTTAGTCAACGGAGCAACGGCAGTCCCGATCATACTCAACGGCGGGACGCTCGTAGTAAAGAAGGACACGCATAATTTCTGCTTTGGGCGACGATGTGTCGAGGCACGTCCTGAGGTCTCCCCCCGCTTGTCGTGTACGGGTGTCGGTATCGCATATGCAGGGCCTGGACATGATCCGATTTGAAGCCGCGTCTATCTTCCCAAGGAAACCCATCGCTCTGGCCGCAGGACCCCTTTGCTGCACTGTACTCATCATCTAACAACTGCGGTAACCTCTCCCCCTCCTAGGCACTCAATCCTGAGCCGCGCGGCAGGGCGGAGCATCACCCAATGAGTAGGTATCAGAGCAGCCTCCAATCGACCTGAGCCGGTCAGCTGTGATTAATCTCCGAGCATGGGAGCTCGTCCAACAAGGTCCAGCAGACCTCAGCGGGCCGGAAGGAAGCCGCGCTGTCACAAGTCGCATAAAATTTGACCCTTCCCCCCCCCCCCCCCCCGTGGCCCTGTGCACTACCGGGGAACTTTCCCGCACTACGGTTCATGCAGATCCACTTGCCGCCATGGATGCGGTTCATCTTTTCTCGAATGCTGCTGCTAATTTCAGAAGATGAAGAAGCAGAAGCATGCTATGGGGTCCTCTGACCCGGTTTACTGTCCTCAATGGGTGCCTGATCGTCTGTCTCTCCACATACCTATTGCTGGAGGTTTCATAGCGATGGGTGTTGACTCTTGGTGCATAGTAGTATGTAGTAGACCTCCAGCTCAGCTCAGCAAGACTCCCTGTATTAATTGGGCTGCTTTAAAGCGGAAGTGCTGTCAACGATTCACTGTTGCAATGCAATGCAATGCACATTTGCACGTGGTTCGCGTTACACTGCATCGTTTGGAAACACGTTTTGTACTGTACATACTACTATGTCACATGAGTAATGCAGGTCGAGCACTTCATTTGACACCAACAAGGTTTTTCCCGATCAATTTCTTTTCAATTAAAGTTCCTTTGCTCTCTGTCTCACACACACACACACACACACACACACACTCTCTCTCTCTCTCTCTCTCTCTCTCTCTCTCTCTTTTCCTTTGTACCCACATACTGTAAATTCTGGCACTTGAACAGTCCGGCTCCTTATCCGCGGCCGTACTTGGGATCCCTGTTCAAGTTTGTTGTTTGATGCTGGAACAAACCGACTGCGACTTTTCGACACACCCCGTGAGGTGAGGTCTGCGACAATGTGAGTCACGTCTTGGTGAGAAAGTTGTCATGGGAGGGAGGGCTCAGACCGGCCTTGACTTCCAAGATGAGATCTCGTCGCATTCTGTCATGTTTTACCTTTCCCCCCCCCTTCCTTCCATCCTTTCGTTCTTTTTCTGTGGGTCCTGACTCTAAAGAGTTTACACTCCAATACTTTATGCACAACTATCTGTTTGTCTGTTTAGCAGCCTACTCAGTACTCAAGTCAATTGGTGTGGATTACTGCGCTGGAAGAGAGAACCCCTACCCTTGCCTACGCCCGCCCCTCCATCACCCCTACCACCTCCCAAAACTCATTTGGTCTTTTTGAGTTTCTTGTAACAGCAGAGCATCCACGCCACGAGTAGCACGACCCCTGAAGATTCAATGCGAATGCGACTCTTACACAAAATCCTCATCCCATCTCATCTATACGATCAAGGAAGAACTTTTTCACATTTTGTCAACCTCAGAGTCTAGACCTTTACAGCCGACAAGGTAAAACCCGAGCCGTCGTGCGGCTGAGAGATTCTCCTGTGGCCAAGGGAAAGGGGAAATCTTTTGGGGGGGGGGGGGCAAAATAACAACAACCTGCGATTCATACAGATGCACGCACCCACACACACATATACAAAAGTGTTATATCCGTATATCTTCTAACGAGGATCTCGACCGTGATAGTTTGGGGATCGGCTTCAGCGTGCTGTGCTGCTTCCGTGTCGGCCGAGTCAGTCAAGGGTGTATGTGAAAATACAGGGCCCTGCCATAGACACCGAAAGAAGAGGGTTCGTCTCCTCTTTTAGCCTGCCAAGCTTGATGCAACCTCACAGCCTAGACTAGAGAGCACGGTGAATCTCTCTCTCTCTCTCTCTCTCTCTCTCTCTCTCTCTCTCTCTCTCGGTGTGTGCGTAGCGAGTCATCAGTTGATCAAGGCAAGACCGGCTGTGAGTCCGTGTCCGCGGGGCCCAACACAACAGAGCTAGTTGTTCGTAATTGTTTCTTGGCGATCAAGTTGAGTTGTTGAACATCTGCACGATACCAAAATTACGCTATACTAGACTAGGTGATATCAGAATCCCGGGGATCCTTTTTCTCTCTTCTTTCTCCTTTTTTCTTATCCTTTTTTCTCTTTCTTCTTACTTGGGCCCGATCAGCTAGCCACAATGACATCACAGTTACTTTGACCAGTTGGGACACTCCCTCTCGGTACCAACCAATTTGATCTGTCAGTTAGTGTTGAACAGAGTTTTAACAAGCGGCGGAACAACATCCGACATGTCAGGAGAGTTTCATGACATCAGGGAAATTGGTTTTCTTTCCTTCTTTTTTCTTCTCATAACATGTCAGAAAAGAGACTTTAACCAAGCAATTCGAATTAGGAAAGTGGGCAATCAAGATCTTTGAGTCAGTCAAGGGTGCGTGAATAGGTGCTTGATTAATAGAGGGGAGTTGAGTTGCGAGACGCCATGTGGTAAGTCAGTACGTACGTAGTGTGGGTTGAGGCTCAACCGCTCTTTGTCTCTCGTCCAGGATGTGGCTCTCCGGTAGTGTGTGTGTGTCCAGAACAGACTAGAGCTGGACCTGTGCCGTACCAATGTGGGGGGAGCCCCTTCTCCCTCACTTACTGTGGTAGCGGTGCTTTCCCAAGCGGCCAGGCCGGCCAGCCAGCCACAGCAACATGTACCCCACTATGGTTCAGCGGGGAAAGCAACTTGTGGCGCCTGCCGAGCTGTCCTGTCGGTGACGACTGACAACCCAGGAAAACGACTACAGCTGCTTCAAGCTTACCGCACCAACGTGCCCCCCCCCAACGAACCAAGCTTTCATTCTCGACGCCGACGACGCTCACCCTCTATCCGCGACCGGAGAAAGGCTGAGAGCCCGTCTGCAGCATCACGAACCGAAGCGATCCATCTAACCACTCTTCTACGACGACCAACACAGCAAGACAACGGAATCCCCTCGAACCCCCTAACCAGCCCCTCCTTCCATTCCTCGCCCCTTTCGGCTTGGGACGCCATACGCGCGAACCCGTCCTTCGCTTCCACCCCCCACCCTCCTTCCTTTTTTCTTAAGAAGAAAAGAAAAGAAAAACACAGGAAACGTTCCGTCACCATGTCCGTCATCCGCGAAGTCACGGCGGCCTCCATGACCGACGCCTGGCGCACGATCGACATCGACGCGCTGCAGGAGGACTCGTCTGTCAACTTCGACACGTCGACGCTGCACCCGCCGCTACCGGAGGTCGGCGAGGCCGAGGTCCGCGCGCTCGCAGGGCAGGTCAGGCAGCTGCTGCGCGGGGGCGATGCCGAGGGCGCGCTGAGGGGCTGTCTGGAGATGCCTGTGTACAACGGGCCGGATCTCGCAAAGGTATGTCCTTGTTTACATGGTCATGGTCATTAAAAAAATTGTGGTGGTTGGTGGTGGTCAACACATTGGGTGTTGGTGGGAATTTTGGTGGGAAAGGGGAGGGGGGGGGGGAGCCGGTGTGGCGGAGATGCCGATGAAACGAGAGAAGTAGAAGACGAAGAAGAGGTGGTCTGTGGTGGTGGTAGTGGAGGAGGAGGCGGGGGGGGGGGGGGTTTGAGAGGGACCGTGCTCCCTCAGGCGAGTGCCGAGAGCGGGTGTGGGAGGAGAGATACCCAATATGGGAGATGGGATGGGCATAGAGAGAGAGAGAGGGAGAGGGAGAAGGAAGGAGAGGAAGGAAGGAGAGGAAAGAAGGAGAGGAAGGAAGGGAGAGAGGTAGAGAGGAGGGGGAAAGCGTGCGTCTGTGTTTGTTTGTTGGTCTGAAGCGGACGCTGACTCTTTGCGGTGGGCACACAACAGGACGCACATCTGCAGACCGTCGTTGAGGTCCTGCAGTCCATCAAGGCGAGTGAGATGACGCCCATGCTCCAGACCATCTACGCCTCCGAGGGCGGCAGCGAGCTGCTCGACGTCCTCATGAAGTACTTGTAGGTTTGACCCCCTCTCCCCCTCTCTTGTTCGATATCACTGTGACAGCGCGCCGTTCAGCAAAAGCTGATGATATGTTGCAGGTACAAGGGCATGGCGTCGACGTCCGCGGCTGGCGCTGCCCCTCGCACACCGAACAGGGTCACGCCACAGGCCACGGGCTTCAGCCAGATGGGGGGCCGTCCTGGCGCGGCGAATGAGTCGGCCGGTGCTGGCATGAGCGTGCTGTTGAGCTGGCATGAGAAGGTGGTCGATGTCGCCGGGCTGGGCTGCATAGGACGGGTGATGACAGACTGGCGGAAGGTGTAAGGCGAGGAGGGGGCAATGATGATGATAGTAGGTGATCTTCGTCACCTGACGGCGATGAGAAGCGCCGGGATCGAGCCGCTTTGCTTGCTTGCAGTTCCTGATGCCATATTGTTCAAATAAAATTTTCCATATTCACTAAGCGCACAGCAGTCATGCTGTTGCTTGTCTACTACTCCAACTTCTACGTGCAGTGAGATATATACACAGGAGCCTCTCAAATAGCCAGATCACCTGTAGAACCCGAAACGTACTGTGCTTGAGTTGGTCTTCCATAAACTTGGGACGATTAAACCTGCGCCCAACATTACGTTGCTCATCGCGTTCGTGCACAACCTCTTCTCAGGATGAACTAGATGACTCGGGCCTGGAATGCAATCTGCCTACTCTTTCATTCAAGTCGATCAAGATGCAGATGGCGGTGATTTCGTCCATGAGCTGCTATGCACGGCCGCAAGTGATGAGTGTCTACCCAGTGCTCGCTTCGCAGAGACGTGCTATGCCAACAAGATGGCAATGCTCTGACTCTACTGAGAGTGGCGTGCTTTCTCTTGCGCACACTATCATGTATCTCGCCTAGGTCTCGAGCCGTGCGTGTGTTGTACATTCCGACCTATGCCCAAACTCAGTATCCCAATATGGAACATGCGTTATCACACTGGTGTTCAAGCGGCCGCCTGAAAGCCACACAGACCTCTCTATTTATTCTCAAGGATATCCTTGAGGTTGATCTCGCCGCTGCCGCGTGCCAGAGGCGTGGGCTGGTCTGGAGAGTCGTGCCAACCGATCATGTAGATGATGCGAAAGGTGGCCGGGATGGTGCCGTCTGGGTTGCCGTGGAGCTCGCGGTAGATGGCCTCGTTGGCAAGCAGGACGTCACGGGGGATGGGGCCCATCTCTCTGCCGAGAACGGCGTTGCTCTCGCCCATGAGCTGCAGGTCCTTCATCAGCTCAAAGGTATTGGGGTAGTCAACGATGATGTCGTCGACGTCGACGGTCAGCATCTTGAAGCCGGCCTTTTGCAGCAGGCCGCCGCAGTCCCGCACGTCAGCAAGGGGTGAGACGCGGGGTGAAATACCGCCCCTGCGCTCCTGTTCGGCGAGCTGCAGCGAGGTGCGCAGCTCGAACAGTGTATCCCCACCCAGCATGGCGCCCATGAAGGGACAGTCCGGCCTCAATATGTTGTTGATTTGTGCCAGCATGCCGGGGAGGTCATTGACCCAGTGAAGACTGAGACTGCTCAGGACCAGGTCGAACGAGCCCGCCTCGAAGGGGAGGGACTCCTCGTCGTCCAGCACGTGTCGCGTGATGGAGAGGGTGTCGTTGAAGGGCTGACCAGCGTCGCGGTACAGCTGGGCGTGCGAGGCGTCGGCGGCGACGAGCTCGGTGATGCGGGTCGACAGGGGCGGCGAGATAGGCCTCGCCGGGTCCGGATCTGGGTTTTCACGTACGAGGGCGCGGGCGATGTTGCAGGTGTTGGCGCCGAGGTCAAGGACGCGGGGAAAATGGCGTTTGATGTCCTGCAAAGAGAGGAAATGAATTGGTTAGCTGTTGGACAAGACAGCGTCACTGAGGGGGAGAGCTTGTGGTGCGTCGTTACCAGGAGACGCTCGCAGAGCCGGACAGCTACCTCATCCTTGAGGTAGTCGGCCTGCCTGCTGCCCTCGACATCGGAGGCTGCCCTCTCCTTCTGCAGCCATTTGGTGCGGCGGTTGAAGACCTCGAAGACAGGGCCCCCAGAGGCCTGGAAGGCGTATGCGCGGCGGCAGGTTGCAGTCGCAGCCCGAGTAAGTCGAGGGGCGCGCGCTCGTAGTAAGGTCGTGTTCATGGTAGAAATTTACATGATGCGAAGAAGTTGAGGGTTGGAAACACAAAAGTTACAATCGAGATCGATGGTGGGGGCCCCTGCTGTGGGAGAGGTTGCTCACTGCAGCAGTGCGGGCGGGTAGGAGCTTCTAGCTAGCGAGGTTGAGGCTCTGAAACGTCATCGAAGGGTCACCAAAAGTCAAGAAAGCTTGGCCTAGCCGTAGCAGCCAGCTTATACAATCTGCACACACTTAAACTACCATGTTAGTATGAAGCATGCAGCGGTACTGTACATTAACATGTATTATGGTAAGCTGGACAAGTAACTTTTTATGGATACTAAGGTTGTCTTTCCTTTCTGCCCCTGTCGTGCCGTTGTGCAGAAGCAATTTGGCGGCTGAAAAGGATGGTTCGTCAAGGCAATCAAATTGATATTGGCCTGTGTAATGATACCCTCTGTACTATACAGTACCTCATTTAGACTAGATTCTAGATCTCATCTCAAATGGGTAATCCAACTTTTTCTGCAACAGGATAGCATTTAAGATCAAATTTCAGGGCTGGTGTAAGGTTGCCCTCGGCAGAACCTCTCTCTCCTTCTTCAGCGGACTCGTCGCATCCAAACACCAGAGAAAATGCCATGACAAAACTCAGCCCTACACTATGTAGTACAGAGATGGTACTTTATTTGTACAGACTGAATTGGATTGTTACTCGTTTTGAAGTTGGTTACCCGAGTCGAGGGTCCGTGCATTAACTGACCAGTCTCCGCTGCGTACCTCGAAACGGGCCGCGACTCTCCACTAAACCGGCCAGCCCAGCATTCAATTCCATCCCATCCCCTTTTGTCAGGTCGACAACACACTGCACCGCCGCGAGCTTCGAACCGAACCCTTCGCCCCTCCTCCCAAGGTCGCAGAAAGTCGCGTCGTATTCCCGACCCTTACCTGCCCACCTGCTCCTCCTTATCTTTCCAGGGTCTTTCTCCGACAGACGGTGACCAACGACCATGCCGGCGCCATCCACCTGAAACCTACCGTCCACCATCAACGAGCAGTGATTCCTTTACGACTTTATTTTCTTTCTTGCTCCCAACCGACCGAACCGACAACTGTTGCTGCTGCGGCGATGTCTCATGGGTGATCCCGCTCTCGCATTGTATACGGAGCAGCTCGACCGTCTAGCCTCGTCACCACCTGCTGCTGCATAAACCTGCTCCCGCCGATTCGATCTATTTCCTTGTGCGACGTCGTCGTCTTCTGTCGCCGGACTCCCCGGGCCCCGGACCTACATCATGTCGTCCACAGCTGCCGGCTTCCTCGGCCGGTCGAGTTCTAACAACTCGAACATGCGCGGTCTCGTTCAGTTCATTGCAGACTTGAGAAACGCAAGAGCACGAGAGCTAGAGGAGAAGCGCATCAACAAAGAGCTCGCAAATATTAGGTGAGGAAAAATTCTCGGCTGCTGCGGTCGGAAGGACCATCCTCCAAACTCTTGCCAACGGCTTACTGACTTCTTTCGCTTGCTGCAGACAAAAATTCAAAGGTTCGCGACCGAACGCCCCTACATTCACGATCGAGAGTGATACAAAGCTAACACGGAGTCAGATGGCAATCTCAGTGGTTACCACAAGAAGAAATATGTCTGCAAGGTACGTGCTGGAAACACAGAGGAGGATGGGGGCTACGATAGCTGACCATGCATTACAGCTCCTCTACATATACATCCTCGGCTGGAACGTCGACTTTGGCCACCTCGAGGCTGTCAACCTCGTCTCTGCGAACAAATACTCCGAGAAGCAGATCGGATACCTCGCCATGACCCTCTTCCTGCACGAGAAGCACGAACTGTTGCCTCTGGTTGTCAACAGTATAAGAAAGGATCTTCTTGACGTCAACGAGTTGTTCAACTGCCTCGCCCTGCATGCGATTGCCAACGTTGGTGGAAGGGAAATCGGAGAGGCCTTGAGCGGCGACGTACATAGGCTATTGATATCACCGTGCGTATTTTGTGTGTGTGTGTGTGTGTGTGTGTGTGTGTGTGTGACGTTGTCTGGCCGCGCGACGCTGACTTGGACTGGCAGGACATCAAAGTCATTCGTCAAGAAAAAGGCCGCCCTTACCCTCCTCCGACTATATAGAAAACACCCCGACATAATCGAACCGCAATGGGCCGAGCGCATCATCTCGATCATGGACGACCTGGACCTGGGCGTTGCACTTTCGGTGACCTCGCTTGTGATGGCCCTGGCGCAGGATAACCTGGAACAGTACAAGGGTGCCTATGCGAAGGCTGCAGCAAGGTTGAAGAGGATACTCATCGACGGCGACTACGCACCGGACTACCTATACTACAAGGTCCCGTGTCCCTGGATTCAGGTCAAGCTGCTGAGGCTACTGCAGTACTTCCCGCCGTCAGGTTCGTACCATCCTTGAGAAACCCTGAGGCGCCCCAGGTTAGTTACAGAGACTGATGACCACCACAGACGATAGCCACGTGCGCAATATGATCCGCTTGTCCCTGCAAAAGATTCTCGATCTGGCCATGGAGACGAACAAGAACGTGCAGCAGAACAATGCTCTCAACGCGGTACTGTTTGAGGCTATCAACCTCATCATCCACCTCGATACAGAGCATTCTTTGATGCAACAGATTTCTCAGAGGCTCGGCAAGTTCATTCAGTCTAGGGAGACCAATGTTCGATACCTAGGTCTCGAGGCCATGACCCACCTCGCAGCTCGCGCCGACACGCTGGACCCCATCAAGCAGCATCAGGAGGTCATCATCGGCTCGTTGAAAGACCGGGACATCAGCGTCCGGCGGAAGGGCCTCGATGTGCTATACAGCATGTGCGATGCAACAAACGCCCAGCCGATCGTCGGAGAGCTGCTCCGCTACCTCCAGAATGCCGACTTTGCGATCCGGGAGGAGATGGTTCTCAAGATCGCCATTCTGACCGAAAAATATGCTACTGACGTGCAGTGGTATGTAGACATCTCTCTGCGGCTGATTGCGATGGCGGGTGACCACGTGAGCGACGAGGTCTGGCAGCGGGTCATCCAGATTGTCACGAACAACGAGGAGTTGCAAGTGTACGCAGCCAAGAACTCGCTGCAATACGTCAAACAGGACCACTGCCACGAGACGCTCGTCAAGATCGGAGCGTATATTCTCGGAGAATTCGGACATCTCATTGCTGAAGACCAGGGCTGCAGTCCGATCGAGCAGTTCATGGGGCTGCACAGCAAACTGCCGGCTTGCTCGTCCAGCACACGTGCCATGATCCTCTCCTGCTTTGTCAAATATGTCAACTTGTTCCCTGAGATCAAGCCTCAGCTCCTCCACGTGTTCGACATATACAGCCATACTCTCGACTCGGAGCTCCAACAGCGAGCCTATGAGTACCTGACCCTGGCCACACTCCCAACGGACGATCTCCTGCGAACGGTCTGCGACGAGATGCCACCCTTCCCCGAACGGCAGTCGGCGCTTCTGTCCCGCCTACACCAAAAACATGCGAATACTAGTGACAGACGCACTTGGGTGGTTGGCGGGAAGTCAGCAAATACCGATACCCACGAGCTCAATATGGCCAAGAATCCCGGGCTCAAAAGGACATTCAGCTCGCAGGCGACCAACGGCAACGGACATGTCAACGGCACGAACGGTCATCAGTCAGCCAATGACCTGGCTGGTCTCGACATGTCCAACATCGGAGCTGCAGAGCCAAAGACGAAGCCTCCGAATCTTGCGAGTGCGGCTCACTTGTCGCCAGGTTGGGAAAAGGGTTTCAACCGGCTACTGGTCAAGCCTGACGGCATTCTCTTCGAGGATGGTCAGCTGCAAGTCGGCGTGCGGTCCGAGTATCGTGGACAGATGGCCTGTCTTATCATGTACTTCATGAACAAGACCCCGACGATCATGAGCTCCTTCACGACCACGATAGACCTAGACGAAAGCGAGAGGAACAAGCTGACCTGGGACATCAAAGGCCTGCCTGATACTACAGTCACGCAGGGAAACCAATGCCAGCAGGTCATCATGTTCGAGGCGAAGAAGGTCTTCGAGAAGAGCCCAACGATGAGGATCAGTTATCTCGCCGGCGCCCTGCAGGCCGTGACCCTAAAGCTGCCCGTCACGGCGCACAAGTTCATGGATCCCGCAGAGCTCACGGGGGATGACTTCTTCAGGAGATGGAAACAGATCGGCGGTGCACCCCGAGAGGCACAAAAAGTGATCGGGCTGAAGCCTGGCAGCCAAAACCGGGAAATCACCGAGGGGTACGTACGGCAGGTTGTGTCGGGTTTCCGATGGGGTATTTTGGACGGTGTCGACCCGAATCGCAAGAACTTTGTGGGTGCAAGCGTCTTGCACACTTCGGAGGGTGGCAAGTTTGGATGCCTGATGAGGCTGGAGCCAAACTACGGCTCTCAGGTGAGATACCCCATTCCACTTTGATATGTTTCTTCTCTCTTCTTTTTTTTTTTTTTTTTTTCAATGACTCTGGCGTCGAAAGTAATGGCTGACCTGTGTGTGTTTAGATGGTTCGGCTCACGATTCGGGCCACTGACGAGAGCGTGCCGAACGTGCTGATAAAGCTGATGGAAGAACGCATTGCAGTTGGTCTATCGACATTGCCAGAGGTAAATGTCGGTCCCACGCCCAGTGAGATCTCGGCATCATTCGCCAATGTCCTTGTGAGAGATTGAGCGACGGGAAACAAGAGACTTTTCTTTCTTTCTTCAGATTTGTGGGATAAATACCACTCGGCTGACAAGGCCTTTTAATTGACACGGGCTACGTGGCGCGCGCTTAATCTGAATAATGAAATTGCAGTTGAGCGCAGGGCGTTTTTGGACAGCATCAGGAAGGCGACCTGTTTTTCTCTCTTCTTTCTTCTTCTCCCCTTCCTCTTAAACGTTTTTGTTGCTCGAGAACAGGAGAAAAAAAACATGAAAGGGGGCGGGGGGGACGTCGCATTGAATCTTGTTCCCTCACGTAGCAATCCCATAGTCAATTGTAGCCCAGCCCGTGTTGTGTATATATTAACAAGTTGTCTGTCTGAGTCTTGCATCATGAACGAGTCGTTCACACTCTGGTTGAGCGAAGCTGTCTTGTCTCGTTCATGAGAGAAAGAGGGGGTTATACATATCCGTCTCACGTGTGAGTAAGTATGGCATCTATCATTGAAAAAAGGTTGTAGTAGGCAAGCCGCCGGAGTTTCCCAGTTGCCAGCCATGCCTCTCCCTTCCAATTTTCCCGCTGTCCTATCTTTCATTCCCCTACATGCTACTCAACAAGCTTCGCATCCGCCTTAGCCGGCCTCACCCCAAATATGGTACTGCCCACCCTGACCTCGGAGCTTCCCATCCCGATGGCCCCCTCAAAGTCCTCGCTCATGCCCATGCTCAGCTCCAGCTCCCGCCCGCTGGGCAGCAGATCCCCCAGCTCGGCCGCCACCAGGTCCCGCTGGTCCCGCAGCGCCACAAAGTCCTCATTCTCCACACCCTCCTGCGTCGTCGTGGCCATGCTCCGCGCGATGGCGCCGATGGTCATGAGGCCGAGCAGGCGGAGGTGGGGACACTCGTTCAGGACGTACCGGCACAGGGCCACGGCGTCGGGGCCGGGGCTACAGCCGGATTTGGACTCCTCGCCGCTGGTGTTGACCTGGACGTGGACATTGATGATGCCGTTCTCACCCTCTGGCTGCTGCTGTGTGCCGGCCGCCAGGTAGTCGCCCCGCGCCTTGTTGAGCAGCGAGGCCTTCTTGACGCTGTCGATGGACGACACGGCGAAGAGATTGGGGATCTTGGCGAGGGTCTTGCAGTGTGTCGACTGCAGGCCGCCGATGAAGTGCCACCGCACCGAGGGCGGGAGGAGGGCCGCCTTTTGGGTGAGCTCCTGGGCGTAGTTCTCGCCAAAGTGGGTGTGGTTTGCTGGGGCGGTGTGTAGGGCCAGGATGTCGTTGGCTGGTTTGAGCTTGGATACTGCCACGAGGCGGACCTTTGAGGGAAATTGTGTCAGTCACTGCTGCTACTGCTCCTACTACTACTCATAATAATTTTGCGCGCTTCTTGTTGGGTGAGAGTCAAATCGTCTTCATCTCCGTTCGTGACAGACGAGGTAGGGCAGAGCAGAGCGCCCACACAACAGCAGGCAGACCTGACATCTCATCTTATGTTTCCAATTGCCCTTTTTTCTGTAGCTGGCGGCCACCTCCTTCCCCCTATATGTTTGAGATGAGATGGGAGAAAGGGGCAGACAGGCAACTGAAAGGAACTTACAGGTCTGCCCTTTGCGACGGCGCTGATGCGCTGCTGCACCTCCTGCAGCTGTGAGACGAGCGCCTTCGCTCTTACAGGGTCTACCTTCATCTCTGTCTCGCTCATGCTTTTTATCTTCTGCTTCGTCTCTTGTATGACGAAATCCCAGAAGAAGGGAGGCAGAGAGAGGGATTTATGGTGGGGGCTCAAAGAAAATGAATCTCGTGGTGATGCTCGATAATGTCCTCGAGGGATCCCAGAAAAAATGGCACTATCGTGTCGACACGTCGGCGCGGTGTTGGCTTGCTAAGAGAAAGTTCATAAGTAGAAAAGAACGTCAGTTTGTAGAAAGCGAAGATGTGGGGCGGCTTTTTCGCTATGCTCACACCCCACCTTCTTCCGGAAGGCAGCCTCGAAACGGTGTATCGTAGCTGCTCGGGCAGCACGCCAGTGTCACAGGAAACATGTCACCTTCACGCATTCGATACGCTCATGCTCTGTTTTTCTCGCTGCAGACAGGCAATGTGAACGGAAACACGCTCAGAAAGACTTGCTCTTGACTGCCAGTCCAGTTGACACATAGCAAATAGTAGTCCTCATCACTTCAGGCGAGTTCACTGTCCAAAAAGGTTGAAGGCAGCCTCGGATTTTTAATTTCATCATTTTATTGAGGTTTCATTATTTTCATTGGCTCTACGCTGCTTGCATGACCACAGAGGACGATGGTCTGCATATTCAAGAGTAAGCAGCTACCGCGTGCATCTGAGGCTGACAAGAGTCGACCTGATAAATCATCTGGCTGAGTGCTCGTCATCGATCACTACGATCTGCTCAGGCGCGGAATAGAGCCGGCATAGAGCTGAAGCAGTGCCTGTTTGAGCTTCGTAGAATCCTCCTCCCAGAACCTCTGCCCACTTGATCAAACCCTCCCGAAAGCCCTAACCATGCCTTGGTATCATTCATATGAGGGCTCAAGGACCGAACGAGGGAAAGGAAAAGAAGAAAGTGCCCCCGCTTTTGATGTGTCGTTCAAACTTGGCCCGTGACGCGCCTTGCCCTCCCTGAACCGATTGATGCCCTTTCAAAAAAACGCCAGGCTGAATCCAGACCCTAATTAAGATTTACAAGAAATGAAGAATATTAGTTGCGGAAAGATGTATCAAGCCAACCTTTGGTGCATGCAGCCACGGGCGACTAAGCGTGTTGGCTTCAGCGGCGTACTAAGAAGCAGGATGGCACATGCAGGACCGTTTGCCGAGGTTCTACCAGCAAATGATCACAGCCTCCTCTCCTCGGCGGATCTGATTCTGCGCGTTTGGTTGATCCGTCCATGTCGTCAGAAAGTAGTCTCAGCTGCATGGCCACACTAAGTGCGGCAGGTTGACTTGGGGTGTTTCAGCCACCTCAATCCCTCTTCCACTTCAGATAGGCGTATTGCAGAGCAAGCGCCTCTTTCCCATCGCGCTCCAAGACCTCAGCCCAATCTCGGATCTGAATGTTCTTGCCCTTTTCGCCGTACTCCCGCCAGGTACCCATCTTGGTCCGCGGCTCCGGGGTTAGATTGGTGTTCTCTGGGGCCTTGGGTGTCGCTGAGGATTGAGGAGTGCCGGGAGCGCCAACCGCGGCGCGGGATGGCGTCTTGGGGCCACTGCCTGCGCCTCCTGTCATCCAGGAATACTTCTTTTTCCCACCACCCAGGAATTTCATCGTGGTCATGTTGACGCTCTCGGCCGACGCATCGTGCTTCTGGGCGGCAATCTTCTTCTGCTCCTTCTTGGTGGGCGCTTTTTCCGGCTCAGGAGCCACGGAGCCCGGAGTGGTTGGTGTGGCTGCACCGGTGCGAGTTCCAGTCTGCGTACCACCTTCCTCCTGCAGGCGCTTTTGTCGCTTCCGCAGCCTCTCTTCCTCAGCAGCACGCTCAGCGTAGGCATAGTCGCGTAGATACTGAGAGAGCGGATTCAGGGGCGCCAAATTGCCTGGGGAGCAGAAGACCAACGTTAGCAAAGCTGCAGAGAATCCGGGCCCGGGGGGGGGGGGGTCTCCGAGAGGACGTTGCTTACGCTTGCGCGAATTGGAACTGCTGCCGGCACGATGATCACCACCAGCCTCACCTCTACCACTTCGCTCGGCATCTTTTGGATCGTAGAGACCAGCCAGCTCCAAGGGTATCCCGTCATCTGCCCAGGACATGGGAATCACACCGTGCGAGGATTGCTGGCGGTGGGTAGCCAGCTTGTCGCACTCCTCGACGAGACCTCGCAGTCGCTGCCGGGTGCCGAGAGACAAGAGCGCGAGCTGATCGATTAGGAAGCTGTCGGTGGGCAGGACCGTACCATTAATATGAACAAGCGCACCATCAGGACTCGTCTTTGTGGAGATGGTGAGCTTAGGACCACCCTGACCAGGGTATTCATTGGCGCCCCTGGACTTCTGGACGTGTGCCTGTGTGCTGTTCTTGTTGTCGAGGTTCAGCTCGAGACCGTGGCTCGCAGCCATCTTTTCCATGCGGGCATGAAGATTAGCATAATTCAAAAAGGGGTCGTTATGCTCTATGGCGCGCGTCGCAGACAGACGAGCCGCTGACTCGTTCCAGGCGCGCTCGGCCTCAGCAAACTCGAACTCCTTTTGTGTCGCAGTCGTTGCTGCGCCAGGCTGGCTGGCAAAGCCTGTGCCGTAGAAAGAAGAACGGTTGCCAGGCGCATTGGAAGGCAGACCAGTCCTCGCATCCTGACCAAAAGATCCAGCATAGTATTCGGCCAGTGCATTCTCCTCATCCCGAATGTTCACGCCTGTGCCCAAGAGACTGTCGGTGACGTCGTACTCATACTCGCGCTGAGGTCGGCCGCTAGGGGGTCCCATGGCACCAGGAGTGTTAGGCGCGCTCGCACTGACGGGTGGCGCGAAGGCCTGGGTGGTATAGTGTTGTTGGGGGCCTGCGCCTGGAGTGCCAGGCGCAACGCCGGGAGTAGCAGGACTGGGAACGATGTGTGGTGTCGCAGGCGCGGTGGTGGCTGGGATCTGGATCGGACGCGGGGGAACGTAGCTCGCAGCTGTGTTGGGGACCGCATTGCTGCTGGCGTAGGTCTGCGGCGGTGGGTAATGCGATGCCTGGTGATTCGAAGCAGGCTGGAGGTTCTGGTATGAAGGAGAAAGGGCGCTGGTAGGCGTGCCTACGTTTGGGCTGCCCGCGTACCTGGGCGAGGTGACCGAGTAAGGGGACGCAGGTTGGGACTGTGACTGGGTGTTTGGCGCGTTTTGCGCGTTCGGCGCGTTGAATGGTGTTGCACCACCTGGAGGAGGTCGAGGAGTGCCTGAAGCCATGGCAGGAAGGGCAAATCCAGGTTGCTGTGCTCCTGGTGAAGGTGAGTGAGGCTGCGCTGGCTGGTGGTGTTGTGCTGGAGAGAAGGCCCTGGGCGGGACCTGCTGGCTGGGTTGTGCCATCTCGTCTCTCTGTCTGTCTGGCTGACTGTCGAGAGGGTTATGGAGAAGGACGTGTTGGCAGACAGGTTGCAGATAAGCAGAGGCTGAGCGAGATGGATCCTGGCTGGGTATTATATAGAGGTTGGGGTTGAGTATTGTTGTCGTTGCTGGCCAACCTCGACTCACCAGCACAAGGGTGCAGGGTTGCAGACTCAGGCAGGGGAGCCTGCCTTGCCTGTGAATCTACTGTCGCCAAATCCCATCAAAAAGCCTCTGATGCCCTGAAACTGGTTTTGGTGAAGCTTTTGTTGGCCTGGAGCTCAGTGAAATCAACAGCGTGATGGGCTTGACCCTTTGTTGGCTGTTAAGGGACGCCGTTCCTGCGGGATGGCCATGTTGTTGAAGATGGGAAGCTGCAGACCATCAGTCGAGCTAGGACGTCGCAGCTTCGATTCCGGTCACGTGGGGCTTGAGAGGTGGGTCCTCCATTGAGCCGCAGCTTACCTCAGCACCTTGGTCAGCCTGTAACTCTACTCAACTGACATTCTGACACTTGCCGAATGCTTTGTTCAAGCAACACCAACTTCACTCATTGCAGCACTGGACATGCTGCTGGTCATATGAGTCCTGCCACAGGATTTCATGTGGGCTCCTCCTCTATAGTCACCCTGGGTAGCTGGCGCTGGTGCTGTTCACCTGCAAGAACTCGCTTGGTCAGGCCTCTCGTGTAGACCACCACACGCTTCTTCCTTTCTTACACCCTCCGAGGTTTGTTGCTCAACAAGGAACGGCAGGTCCATATAAGACAATGGCATCAAAACGCAAGGCCTCGGCCATGGCAAATGCTGCCAATGAGGAGCCTGTCGATCCGTCGGACGAGCTGAAGTTCATCTGCCTAGGAGGTGGAAACGAGGTCGGCCGGTCATGTCACATCATACAGTATAAGGGCAAAACAGTAATGGTATACATGCCCTCGACGTCTGCAGAAACCTATTTGTTCTATTTTGCTGATCTTCCGAATAGCTTGATGCCGGCCAGCATCCAGCCTACGACGGACTCGCTGCCCTGCCCTTCTTTGATGATTTCGATCTGAGCACCGTTGACGTACTCCTCATCAGCCAGTAAGTACTCCTAACCCCCTCCCCAAGGCTCCAGATGCCTCCTTTCTAGGAGTGATGGTTCAAGGCTTGATGGCGTCTATGGTGGACGGGCCGGATTTCCGACGTTTCTCGATTCTTGTCGGTGGCTTCATCGGTCTCCTGTGGCAAGTGCGTCATCAATCGTGTATTGCCATACTGTCTGTCTCTCAAAGCAGCCACCTGCCGTCCACATGTATTCAGAGATCAATACATAAAATCAACCTCTTGCCACCCCTTGCCACCGTTCCAAACCTTGGCGTTGTGACCACTTCCCAGTCTGCCTAGGTGCCATCATGTAGCTAGAGAAGACCTCTTCGGCCCTTTGGTCAGCCCTATCTGGACAATTGCATACTGACAGGCCCCCCACAGCTTCCACGTGGACCATGCTGCCTCTCTGCCATACGTCTTAGCCAAGACCAACTTCAAGGGTCGCGTCTTCATGACACACCCCACCAAGGCCATCTACAGATGGCTCATCCAAGACAGTGTTCGCGTCGGCAATACCTCTTCGAACCCGACCTCGCAACCTGTGTATACGGAGCAGGACCATCTCAACACCTTCCCACAGATCGAGGCCATCGATTACTACACGACCCACACCATATCGTCTATTCGAATCACACCCTACCCGGCAGGTCACGTTCTCGGTGCTGCCATGTTCCTGATCGAGATCGCAGGGCTGAACCTCTTCTTCACGGGCGACTACTCTCGAGAACAGGATCGTCACCTGGTGTCGGCACAAGTACCACGCGGGGTCAAGATCGATGTCCTGATCACAGAGTCCACGTATGGTGTCGCCTCACACGTCCCACGTCTCGAACGAGAACAGGCATTGATGAAGTCCATCACGGGCATTCTCAACCGCGGCGGTCGAGCTCTGCTCCCGGTGTTCGCGCTGGGCAGGGCTCAGGAGCTCTTGCTCATCCTGGATGAGTACTGGGCAAAGCACGCAGAGTTTCAGAAGGTCCCGATCTACTATGCAAGCAATCTGGCTAGGAAATGTATGCTGGTATACCAGACCTATATCGGTGCCATGAACGACAACATCAAGCGGTTATTCAAAGAGCGCATGGCCGAGGCAGAAGCCACTGGCGACGGTGCTGGCAAGGGAGGGCCGTGGGACTTCAAGTACATTCGCTCGCTGAAAAGTCTCGACAGATTTGATGACATCGGCAGCTGCGTCATGCTGGCTAGCCCTGGTATGCTGCAGAGCGGTGTCAGCCGAGAACTCCTGGAGCGATGGGCACCAAGCGACAAGAACGGTGTCATCATCACCGGCTACAGTGTGGAGGGTACTATGGCCAGGCAGATTATGCAAGAGCCAGAGCAGATCCAGGCTGTCGTGAGCAGGAGTGCAGCGAGCGCTCGCAGGGCCCCTGGGGGTGAGACTGAAAAGGTCATGATACCAAGGAGGTGTAGTGTACAAGAATACTCGTTTGCCGCCCATGTGGATGGCAATGAGAACAGAGAGTTCATCGAGGAGGTGGCTGCTCCAGTTGTGGTAAGGAAAAAAACCCCTGCCACGTCGCAAATACCAGAGAAGAAATTTCTAATCAAGACAGATTCTCGTTCATGGTGAACAACATAACATGATGCGCCTGAAATCAAAGCTGCTGTCGCTCAATTCAAACAAGACTGTCAAGGTCAAGGTCTACAGCCCCAAGAACTGCGAGGAGCTTCGCATCCCTTTCAAGCAAGACAAGATTGCAAAGGTTGTCGGCAAACTTGCCTCCATACCGCCACCCTCTCATCTACCTACGCCAGAGGATGATACGCAGCTCATCACGGGCGTCCTTGTACAGAACGATTTCAAACTTTCATTGATGGCACCAGAGGATCTCCGAGAATACGCCGGTCTCACGACCACCACAATGATCTGCAAGCAACGTATCCGCCTCTCCGCCGCAGGCATCGACCTGATCAAGTGGGGCCTCGAAGGAACCTTTGGCAAGATCGAGGAGCTTCCAGAGATGCAAGAGAAGCCCGAGGGCGAGGGAGATGGCGAAACGAATGGCGATGCGGAGCCCGCCGAAGAGGAGGTGGACAAGATCGTCGCCGCGTACCGCATCATGAGCTGCGTGACCATGCGTTACTACAGCAACGGCGAGGTCACAATCGAGTGGGAGGGCAACCTGCTCAACGACAGCATCGCCGACAGCGTCCTCACCGTGCTCTACAGCGTCGAGTGCAGCCCCGCGGCGGTCAAGCGGTCCGCACAAAACAGCAAGCACGAGCATGGCCACAGCCACGGCGGTGACGAAAGCGACGAGGACGGCTTCAAGCTGCCCGCACGCAACCTCCACGCCAACATCACCCCCGAGGAGCGGCTGGAGCGCCTCTTCCTGTTCCTCGAGGCTCAATTCGGTGCGGACAACGTCTCGCCCATCGCGGAGCCCAAGCTGCCTGCCATGCCTGAGCAGCAGGCCAAGATTGAAAACGGAGCGGCGGGCAAAGACGAGGATGCCAAGATGGAGGGCGACGGCGACGGAAGCGATGACGAGAAGGACGACGAGGACGATGCACAGCTTGAGGCGCGCAAGAAGGCCGAGCTCGAGCGCCTGCATCGCATCGGCATCCCCGTCCCCGGAGTCGCCATCAAGGTCGACAAGATGACCGCCAAGATCTGGCTGGAGGACCTGGAGGTCGAGTGCAACCACAAGGCCTTTGGTGATCGCGTGCGCAGCGTCGTCGAGCGGGCGGTGGAAACTATCGCGCCGCTGACTGACTAAAGGGAAAGCAGAATGGGAGGCACGGTTCGAGGCTTTTGTTTTCTTATGGGATGGGAGGGTGGATGATTCGTTGGTATCGGTAGGCATGGAGGATAAATTATATGCTAAGTGATGCGAGGTAGTTCTTTACTATGAACCAATCGATAAGGAAGGCAGGCTTGCCATTTTTCAACCGTCTTCGTCAGCTCTCGTCCTCATGGTTTGTAGATCTACTCGAGCTCAAAGCCAGACGGATCCCAACCCCACCCCTTTGAGAATGAGGAGGGGACAGTGTGCGTAGAAACTCGGTATGGCCAACTACTTGCTCACATATGATTGGATGCGATCAGAAAAATCAGCTTGCGGACTTCATAGCTGCACGGCCACCATCAATAAGTATTTGTGCAGGCCTCGCTCTCTCCCCCTCTCTACATCTAGCTCATTCACTAGCATGCCATAGCGGTACCCACGGCCAGCTGCAGCAAATGTGCCTGACAGAGTATGAACTCGACATTATTCGATCTTCGAGCAGCCGCTCTATTGTCGACGGTGAGCATCGGGGCTCGTCCATCTATAGCAAAGCCAATGTCTCAGCTTCAGCCCCTGCCGTAGGCGACGGCAGTCGCCGAGTGTCTCGACAAAGGCACAGAGGGTGTGGGCCCCAAGATTCTCTGTGTCTCTTATGCCCATCCTCTCAAGGTCTGAGTCCCTCATGAAGGAGAAAAACAGACGGGGTCTGCCGCACTGTGTTTCTTTTCCCTCAATCATCTTCTCTCACGTGGTCTTCCTCACTTCTCCTCTCAAGCTTTCCCCTTTCCCTTGCCCTTCTTTTTCTTCCCGGCGCCGTCCTCGCTCACATTCCCGCTCCCGCCAGCACCTGCTCCCGGCAACCCAGGCATCCCTCCCATGCCGCCCAACAAGCTCGCCATGTCCATACCAGGCGGCATGCCAGGCATACCCCCCGGCCCAGCCCCGCCGGCGCCGCCACCACCACCACCCTGCATCTCCTTCATCATGTCCTTGAACAGATTCTCGCTGACCCCGCCGCCGGTCATGGCAGGGCTGTAGTACGGCAGCATGTCGCCCATCTTCCAGCCCCGCGGGACCGCCGGCCGCGGGTACCCCTTTGACCTCTCGGGCGGGGGCGGGCCACCAGGGATGCGCTCCCAGAGCACGGCGCTCTTCTCCGTCGTCGGGTTGTTGCGCAGGTGCTGGGCGACGAGGATGTACAGCTGGTGCTTGTTCTTGACGCCCGCGGCGGCGCCCGCGTCGCCCTTGAGCTGCACCTTGACCCGGCCCGGGTTGGCCCAGTCGCGCGGGTGCATCTTCTCGGGCTCGAACAGCGTCTGCACCCGCAGGTCGCGGCAGGCGTTGACAATCTCCCTCGCCAGCGGGTTCGACACGGCCAGCTCCTTGGGCACGCGCCGGCCCTCGGCGCGCGTGCGCGAGGCGTCAAAGTAGATGGGGTACAGGCACTGGAACCCTGCATAGGCCTTGGTCGACGTCGCTGTCGGGATCGAGTAGGAGCCTGCGGCGCCGGCGGTGGGCGGGCCGCTGGACACGGAGGGGATGCGGCTGGGGTCGAGGATGTGGGATCTTGCGTCTGCTGGTGCAGGCTGTTGCGGCTTGTTGGAGCGCGACCGCAGGATGTCGGTTTCTGCAAAGTCGTCAATGTCATCCTCTGAAGGGTCCGACATTTCGAGGTCGCTGTCCTCCACTTCTTCTATCCTTGCGTGGGACATGATGGCAGTTGTGTGTGCGTGTGTAATTGTCTGCTGGTGGTTTCCAGATATGTGTCGAGTTATTTTCTTCGGTGCAGGAAGACCAGAGAGTTGGTTTTTGTTGTACTACTGGGCTGTGTCGACCAGGTGAGGTCAACGTGGAGGAAGTTGAGGTGGGGCTCAGCACTTTCTAGCTAGGATCTACACAAGCTCAAGCTTTCTCTTTTCTGCTTTCCACCACTGTGGGGTAGCAGGGTACTTGAGCTAGTTTGGGGGGGGCGGGGGGCCTATAGCATGCTGGCAAGTTAGGGGCACATGGGCAGTACAGGTATCAATGATGACTTTGGCAAGGCAAAATTCGAGCATCTTGACTCGAAACTAGATCTGAGCTCACCACCTTTTCCAGGTGAGACGCAAGGTACAGCTCTAGCAATTATGAGCAATTGTGCTAAGCACTTTAAATGTTGGTGAAATGATTCAAAAGAAACAAAAGTTGCAAAATCAATTACAGATCTCCCGCCACCTTTCATCCACCATGTTTGTCACTATGATTGATAGCTTTTTCTTCCAATAAAAAAAATTACAGCCTCGTTTTCCTGTCGAGTCCTGCGAAGAGGAGCGAAGAATGAAACAAAAAAGGGTACCAAAGAGGAAGCCGGGGGAGATAAAACAAGAGAGGTTATCACTCATTCTCCATCATAGTCAGACCAATGCTCATCGCTCGCTGAGTTTGGTGTGCTTCAACTAAACATTTGACACAAAACATCCTCACATCTTAAAAGCTGTCGCTGCTGTTGTTTCGGGTTCCCCAGCTGACTCAGAACTAGCCTCATCAGAAAGGATGAGAAAAAGATATAACCCATAAATTGATACTAATTTCAGTGCCTCCGAGACTGGCTGGGTCGGTACTACTCGTCGTCCGAATACTGGTAAGTGGGCCGGAACTTGGTACCGGGCGGGTGCTCCCACGTCTTGAACTTGCAGTATGGATGCATGCACTGGCCGTCACGGGTGCTGGGGCACTGTTTGAACGGTCAGTCTGTTCCTCACACGACGCTCTCATCTGACAACAAGTACGTAAGTTGGGGGGGGGGGGGGGGGGGCTTACATGATGACCGTAGATGCAATCCCCGACATCGCAGTCCTGACCGTTCGTGCAAGGGTTGAGCCGCGCCAGAAACGCAATGGCAGTCTTCTCCGCCTCGGTGGGTCGGTATTTGTGTTCGAAACAGCACGCGTCACCTTTGGCGCAGGGTCCCCGAAGGTAATGGTTGTTGCAGAGTTTGTTGTTGTCTTTTCGTTTCTTGATATTGTCCAGAGCACTCTGGTTCACCTCAAGAGGAGGATCCAGGCCGCGCGGCCCGGGGTTCCAAGGATTCGGCTTCTCGCGCCGCACCACGGCCGCCTTGGTCTGCTTGGGCGGGAAGGGGAGAGTAATTTGGGGCGGCGGTGTCGCACTCTTGATCGCCGTGGCATACGACGACGGGATGCCTCCGTTGGTTCCGTTGGCTCCATTCGCTCCGTTTGATTTATCTGTTCCATTTGCCGAGCTGACCCCACTGTGCTTTCTACTGACAGTCGTGGCAGACGGTGGCGGCAGCGGTGTCATTCCGGCGACGACTGCCGGTGACGCCATCGGAGAAAGCGTCGGGTCTGACAGGCGTCGGTCGACGAGCTTCTCGGCACGGAACAATTCTTTGTTGAGGTTGAGAATGTTGAGGTTCGTAGCCCGCAGGTCCCTATGCGTCGGGACTCCTTCGAGTATGGTGACACGCTGACGGGTTTCCGTGTCGCGGATGATTTCGTCCAGGAAGGAAGCATATCCTGAGTCGTGGGATATCGCAAGCACAATCTGTTTACAATTATGGTTGCGAAGATGCCACCTGATAGCCTCTGTGATCTGGTTGTCAGTGGTGTACAGCCCGCGCGGAGATGCCCCAGCTCAGATGGATAGACAGACACATCACTTACCTTTTATTTTGGTATCGGTCCGCTCTTTTCCTGGACCAACATCAATAAAATCAAAGGATGCCATACCCTGAGTAAATCCTAAAGTAAAATCCTTGAAAGTGGTCTCGCTCTCGACGGTGCCACTTGCCCTGGTGATCATTGCCAGTCCCGAGAGATTGGCGATGAACCTGGTGATAACCTCGAACTGGCCGGTCTGGTCATGGCATTCTCTGAGGATGGCATTTCTCAGGGTATAGGCGGCATGCTTTCCGCCTTCCATACCTCTTTCTATGTATTGCTTTTGAAACTACAGGCGGGTTGGTTAGCCCATCCATAGTGTTTGTTCACATAACCAATGTGCAAGTAGAGCGGTCGGCTGGATACGAGGTTGAAGAAGAAGAAGGAGACGAAGTCAGACCATAGCCAAACCATCAGACACTTACATGACAACCATCGCCATCAATCAAGACGACAACGTAAGGATTGTAATTCTGGGCAAGTCTCAGCGCCAGTGCTCCACCTTTTCGGAGCTCATGTATACCTTCAAATGATCATTTGCCGTGGACATGTAATCGATTGAACGCTGCAGCTCATCCACCTGCTGCTGAAAAACCCGCCTAGATTTTGTGGCATCGGCCAGGTCGAGGTTGGCATCTCTAATCTGTTCTCGCAGCAGTTCGTTTTCTGCTCGGAGGGCCGTCTCGGTACGTTCAGAATAAATCAGGAGGTCCTAGAAGAAGAGAGTGTCCAGATACCAGTCAGCACCATGTCTCGTGACGTCCGACCGACACGGGTCGTAGCAGAATGTGGGTTGAGGGAAGCAGGGGGTTGGAGGAGGAAGGGGAGCAGGTAGTGCTGTTGGTGCTGGTGCTGGTGTTGGTAGGAGCTTGGGTGGGCACGAGGACAGGCGACATGCCTTGATCAGTTTATCGTGGGCGTCGCGCTGTATCTGCATCTGCTGAAACCTCGTGGCGAAGTCATAGTAAGGGCCTCCATTGGCCTCCATGATTTCGCGGTCCATGAGAGACCCTGCTCTCTTGCTCTCTCTCTCCACAGGTGTAATAGCTGTCAGGCGATAGCAGCGCAGAGAAAAGGGTGGTGAGAGTTTGGATGGGGAGGGAGGTTTGCAAGAACGGGAGCAGATAGCCCGTGTAGTATTAAAAAGCTGAACTCAAAGCTGGGAGGGAAAGGTTGAGGGTTGACCAGGAAGAAGGTTCTAATGTGCACCGTAATCCCAGCAGCAGCAGCAACAGCAGGCCTTTGGTGCACAGCTGATCCCGCGCCCTATGAAATGGCGGGTTAGCGTTTGGTGCGGCGTACGTTGTAAGCTGTAGCAGAACCCTCCTCAGCACAATACTTGTCTCCGAAGCTCTTCGGGGTCGTCTGAAGTAGAAAAGAAAAAGAAGAAAAAATCCAAAAGTCAGGACGAATTGCTCTTAACCAGTGCAACTTCTTCGATGAGCCAAAAGCCGTGGTGGGAGCGGATTTGTTCGTTTTTATAATTTGAGGACAGCATAAAACCAAGTCACGTCTGCTACTTGCTTCTTCTCCCGCGATGTGACTGAACGACGTACCCACTGTCGGCAGCTTGCAGCACTGAACGGCCTCGCGACATTTTTTTTTTTTTAAATAGTGGGGAAGCGGTATACAATTCCCTCCACGTTCCAGGGCGTCAACGACAACCTCAACAGCGTTCAGGGTCGCGCAAGGACCTCTGGGTCACACTGGGTGTGGATTACGAGCGGGGGCTTGAACGGCAGGGGAGCGAGAGAGATCCAGGAAGTGGAGAAGCCGGCTCGCAGCCGGAAGCCAATCACGACGTGGTGTATGCGCTGGCTAGCATTCATCCACTGATGTGTGTCCAGGTTTAGATTTGGTGGCTTTGAAGAACGCATATGCCTTACGAATCTAATTGCGATCCTCTGCAGGTTGCAGACTGCAAGGTGACAGCACTTTGCATCCGACCCGACGGTCGCCACCACGATCCGGCTCTCTCTGTCTCTGTCTCGTTCTCTTCTTCCTTTATCGATGATGGTGGTGGTTGGGGAAATTCTCAATGCTGTTCTCATAACTGATGTAGATGATTTGTCTTGAAGTATACACCCTCTGTGGACACGGCCCAAGCTCGAGGTCACGAACTCGGCTCATCGGTGATGACTGTACCTGCGCACTGGGTTCACATGGCTGACTGAGATCCCGAACTTGGGACAACACCTTCCTGCAGCTCGGGCTTCCTTGCAGGCACTTAACTTTCTGCTCATGCAATGTCCCTCAGCCACGCCCGACTGCCCCAGCCGCTGTCGTGCAACCACACAAGTCCTACGTCTTGCCCAACAACGGCCAATGGGAGCACTGGGACCACACGACACTCCGGCCGAACCTTGCCTCAATGGGCTGCTGAGGTGCCATGCCGGTGGCGTTCATCGCACGAAAGTGTGTGGTGGAGGTCCAGGTGTGGGTGGATGTTAACAGGTTCTCCCGGCGACCATTGATTAGCGATGGCTAATACCACCCTCGTCCTGGTTCCAACTGGCCTAGCTCGATATAGAGAGCTAGAGGCTCGACTATAGGCTTTCATAGATCACGGCGCGGGACGGACGATGTCTCACTAGTATTTCATCCGCAGCAAACCATAGGCCTTCCTTGCCCTGAATCTCTCAGCTAGATTCGATTGGTGACCAGACACGTGAGATTCTTGGAGTAGAGGTCGCCAAGCTCTTCGCATGGCTGCTTGTGGACGAGAGGGGGGGGGCTTGGCATTTCCTTCCAGTACTCACCAACTCGACATATACTGAAGTTTGTTCCAACTTTCACAGGCTTGAACGGTGTACACACTCGATGGTGAACCATGCCATCACAAACTACTCTATGGAAGTCTTCCCGAATTCTTGCAGGCCCCAAAGGAAGTAAGCCCAAATCGCCGCTATGGCCGCTGCAGTAACATTTGTGGCCCGGTCATAAGTAATATTCCAAGTATGTATTGACGAGATCTTCCTAAAGCATTTGGTTTTGTTTCTAGCTCCTGTAGCCTATGCCTACTCGTCCGCGCCGCGGATTGAAACTTCCACCACTGTCCGTGATCTCCAGTCCGCGCCTAATCACAGCCAGTTCCGACTGCTTGGCAAACACGATCTCTCCAGACCTACCGATGCCGAAGAGAAGCTGCCTGTGGCCTACAGCTACCCAGTCGTTGGGCATGAAGAAGTGGCGCACCAGAGACTCTCCCAACGGCGCGCCGTTCTCTGGTGCATGCAAGTCGACGGAGGCGATCCAATGGTCTGTCGTGTACACAATCATTCGGGCCCCAAATCCCCCGATGACCAGCTCGATCTGCTCGGCTACATCTCCGTCGAGTTGATGGACTGGCATTGGGCTGCTGGATACTGGGTCCAGGTCTCTGCTGTCCCAAATCTGGACCGCCGAGAATGGTCCGTGGCTGTGTGGTCCAGCTGGACCATGAGATTGGGGTGCCATAGACACCGTAGCGATATAAGGCGTGTGATGCAGTGAGACTAGACGGTCGAAGCTGACCTCGGCTGCCATGGAGACTGTGCTCAGGAGTCGCAGGTCCGACCAAGAATAAACCTCGAAGTGGGACTTGGAAATGCGAAGAATACACTCCGCCTGGCTTGGGTGGCTCAACCACTGGCTCTCCCGGTCCGCTTCAAGCCGTGGTCTCGAAGTAACGACCTCATTGGAAAAGGCGCTCAATGTGTCGAGGTTCTCGTAGGACAAAAGAAGTCTTGAATGCTTGCCCGAAAGGATGACCCCTCGGAGAGTATCTCTGCCATGCTCAGCCGCTTTGATCTCCATAAATGGGCAACCGGCATCCCAAGAGATCTGTTGTCTTGACACATTGCGCCGCAGTACCTTTCGTGAGGTGACCAAACTTGATCGGTCGCAACATGTCAACACGGATGCTTCTTGATCAAAATGAAGTATGCTTATCGGGCAGTCGCGGTTCTGAACAAAGATCTGTTGAAACAGCGGCTCGCCGTTCGCCGGGATGTCGCAAGCATAGACGCAGCCCTCAATCGTAGCGTAAAAGACAGCGCCAGACATTTTGCAGCACGTGATTGCTGTGATCTCGACGTCTTTCCTCGTGTGGTGTTCCAGCTCCTGAGACATTGCTGAGGCAATGATAGTATCACTGCGCTTTTCGTCTTTGTAATCGGCTCGCGGGAGTACGGTCGGCTGCCAAACCCGACATTGCTGCCCGCGGATCTCGATGAGTCGAGAATTGTCGAAGGTTAAAGCTAAGGCTTTTGGAGCGATTGGTGCATCCAGTCTTATTCGGGACAGCGGTCGCAAGGTCTCAAAATCAAATAGGGTGAGGTTGCCGTGAGAGTCAACGCCAGCAAGTGTGCGGCCGTTGGGAGCCGAGGCGATGAGATTGATATTAGCACCCTCGACCGCCGCAATTGCCTCACCACTGGTAGTGTCGTAGACAACGAGATCCCCATCAGTATATGCTGCCGCCAGTAGACTTGTTCCAATGGCGTGGCTGAAACTGATGCTCGCAACCGTAGTTACACCTTCAGCCAAATTATGGGAGCCGTAGGCAGCGATCGACCCTGTCTCCTTCTCATATATATCGTGAATACGATTTTCAAGGTAGTCCCAAAGTACGATGTTTTCTCCTTGGTATATGACGGACAAAAGGCTTGTAGCCGAGCCAAGAGCTATTGTCGTTGGCGAACGAGACTGCATTCTTTCTTCGAGATCCGTTGTCCAAGTGGCTGGCTCCCCATGAAGAAGCGTCTGCCCGAACATGTCGAACTCAATCAACTGATTCTTTCTCGTAGCCACTCGTAGAATTGTATCCTCTTCTGAAAACTGCATAGCCAAACAGAGCGAGGATATTTCGAGGTTGGTAATTTGCTGCCCGTCTGCCGTTGTCCATATTTTCAGGGAATTTCCTCCGGCCGAAGCTAAGTATTGACCGCTGCCCGCAAAAGCCAGGCACCACACTGGCTCTCCATGAGATAGACTGTACATCTCATCAAAAATAGAGTCGCCATATACCTTCAAATCTCCATGAACATTCATCATGCCCACAGCAAAAAACCCCAGGCCGACTGCGATTGCGTTCGGCCTCATCCCTTGTGGATATGATATTGTGGTAAGGCAATCATCCCAACCTCGAGTAGATAGACCCAAAATCTTCAGTCCCCGGTATGGATGAGAGAATTGCTGGCGGATAGCCGAGTCTGGTGGACAGAAGGGCGGTATAAGACGATGGATGGACTTGGGAGACGACTGAAGCTGGCCGGCGAACTTGGTCACTATGTGGATCAGGTCATTGCCCCATCTCTTTAAAATTTTTAACCTTTCCTTGTCCTCAGCCAGTGCTATTGGTGTTGAATGTGTTGTCTGGTCGACAAGCGCGCCGATAGTTTTCCCAGCCTGAAAGACTGCATGAAGGTTGCCACGAGTAGCATTGACCTCGACCCATCGTAGAACAGTTCCGTCCGTGAAAAATTGTGATAAAAGCCTCAGAATGTCCTCGTCAGCTGTAGGCAACATGTTCACGTGTTGGAAGACATAGATAGAGGCGTAAGCGGTGAAAGGGTGTTCCTGAAACGCCATTGGCGGTGAACTCGAGCCTCGAGGAATCTGGCTGATTCGAGGCTCTAATTTGAGCCGTCTCAGACGAGATATATAGTCGAAGGAATTGTGCATAGTTCTGCTCGTACAACCCGGCTTGAACCTGCCTAGTATGGGTGTGCTGCCAGTGATGAAAAATTCGAGACAAACTTTAGCCAGACGGCGATGGCCTTCTACCTTTGACACAATGAACTCCGAGTTAAGGCGTCCGTCCGTGAGGAACTCCCTTGCCGTCGAGTGGATGAGCTGGACTTTATTATGAGCGTCCACATGGATGACATTGCCACAGCATTTCGCAATGGCTCGCTCGAAAACGTCGATTCTGTCGTCAAGATCCAACTCAATAGGTGCCTGAAGCTCGAAGGTTGACATAGGCCGGAAGGCATAGGTTGTCCACGTAATGATGGCTTTTGCGAGATCTTTGCCGAATCGTAATTTCGCCATGTCATTTAGAAGCTTGGAGTATAGAGCATCCATATTGGATGGAACACTCTCTAATACTGCTTCCATTTCCCTCTCACTCGTGACGTCGCGCAGCTCTGAGCAGATTAATGAAGCCCATAGAAAGGAGCCCCCAGAGTTTTGGGCGATCTGAGACGCTATTTCTGTGCCAGTCGGCCACTTTTCTGAAGACGGGCAAGGTAAGAGGCTGAGGTTTGACTCGAGCAAAAGACTTATGTCCCCCATGCTGTCCTTGACCGATATTGTCTGCCTGATGACCTCGATCCGAGAGCCCATCCTGCTCATATGTGCCTCCACGAGATCTCGTGATGTTATGAGCACGGATAAAGGCCATTGCTCCTGCATGCGCGTCAGGAAGCCCATCACCTCCCTACTGTTCTCGCATTCATCCAAAGAATCGATAATCCAGAACTGTGGTCGATGTAGCCTGATCTTGAGGATGGCAGAGAAGTATACTTTTCCCCAGGTCGCAATGGAATCAAATTGGTTGATCGGAGAGTTATTTTCCCATGAAGAGAGCTCCTGGAGTCTTGAAAGTATTTCAGGATGCAGCATAGCCATCTGCAAGGCCATGGACCGAAGGAACACGCTGGTGTTGGACTTAGTCCTGTCGGATTTTTGGAAGAAGTAGAAGCAGCAGTCTTTCTTTGTAGTCCGCATATCATTAACAATGTGGCCAGCCAAAACGCTCTTCCCCTGGCCCGGACGACCGCGCAGCCATAGTAGAGAAGAGTCTAAAGACTGCTTCCAGGATTGATACCAGTCTTTCCCCGTAAGCCATTCGCAGGATCCAGGGGTTCTAAGGGCATCTTGCGCCATAATGTCGTCCTCTGATGCATTCGCAATGCCTAGATATCTCTCCAAAGTTGCTAGGTCTTGTTGCGCCACGTTGCGCCTGCGAATTAGCGCTGTGTCACGATGTGATGAGACGATAGTGGCCAAGGCGTTTCGAACGGTGATGAAAGCCGGATCACTCGGCGAGTTGAACATGGCGACGTGGCGATGATTTGCATCGAGCAAAGTTCTTCGCTCGTTTGGCAGATTCATGACGGCGCTTGTCTTCTCGACAATCATGGCTTTTACCGGTCCAATATTCATTGGCCTGGTCTCGTAGAAGGACATGAGCTGAATCTTGTGCGCAAGTCGGGGAAACTCTTCGTTGATAGACTGTAGCATTGGTGATTGCGGCAACAGGTCGTCGATGAACGGCCGGCCACCCATAAGTGCTGCTAGGCGAGCGGCTGTTTGTGCAATGGCAGCGCCCTGATGAGGTGTCCCTAAGAATACGATGGATGCAACGCGGTCGACGATGGGCTGGAACTCAGGTTCGTGGTGTCCAATGATGTAAGCCTTCTTAACGACGAGCCCACCCATACTGTGGGCAACAAATATCAAGCGAGGCTGGATTTGCAAAGCGTGAGTGGGTGTCAACTACCGAAAACATCAAAAGCGCACAATGCTCTTGACATCGTGGACAAATAGCAATGAGCAAGACTCACTGGTGCTCCTCGGTTCATCGATGGAGCGTCTTTGACTGCACCAAGCAAGGATCTCGCGAAGTCATGGACGTTGAGGATAGAGGAGGTGCCGATGGCAGATGGATACCCGAAGGTATGTATTCTGACATCGTGAAAAGCATTGTCCAACGGAAGCCATGTCCCTGGCCAGAAATGTGACGACTTGCTTCCTTTGCTCCAGGTGCTGTGGCTTCCGCCATTGAGCCCATGCACAAACACAATATCGGCGACTGCGGCATGTTCTGGCCCGGGATCATGGAGCGTTGTAAGTCCCAAAGGACCTTTGGGCGCAGTCACCTCGTCGTAACCACTTGCACCACGTCGTGTCAAGGCGCGGCTGAGAAATGATTTGGTGAAGAGAACCGGGGCTGCGGATTCCTCCCGTTGGGATTTCATGGAAGGAAGCAGTAACCTTGGAAGTCGGCAGCGCAGCAGCCCTCGACAGCACGGTAGCTCACAGCTGAACACAGCAAACACTCAAGATATTGACCCGAGTCGAGACAGCAGATGACTAATGGCTGAAGACATATCTCAGAGGGGCTTAGAATGGCGCTCGACAAGACCAAGGTTGCAATGAGTGAATGTTATTCATTCGAACGCTGCGGCAGTGAGGGCCAGGCAGCAAGGCGCAGACCGTTTGTTGGACGAGGCTTTGCCCGGACCTCAGGTGCTGTGGACGGAAACTTGGCCCACAATACTCCTACTGTACGCATTACCGCTGAGGAAGTGTGCTGTGGATCCTCTTGGAGTGATAACAAGCCCAACCCCCCAGGAGCCAGGATTCCATTCGGGACCACTAATCTGACCACATTAAGCGCGCTCTTGCTCTGCTGTGACGCCTAGTGGCGGCGGTAGCATCTCTTTCGCTCAGATGAATTCCTTTTTGAGATCACCAACAACTGAAGTTATATATAATTTCATGAATAGTTCGCAAGTCTTATTCCTGTGAGTCTTGGTCAAGCAAATTGTCTTGGAAATCCTCGAAGGATGTCTCGCATTGACACTCGCACTGGCTATTCTGTCTCATACTAAAACCAATATTCTTAGAAGAGAACTTCCACGTTGTAAAGTTTAGTTCGACAAAGTGATAGAGGAACACTTCAAGCAACGAAAAAAGACAAAATCTCAAGATAGACTTTCTATTTTAGTATGCGCCTTCTTACGATTTACCAACTCCTCTTTGCTGTATACTTTCATGAATTTATGTTGGGACACATCAGGCCTACTGGCCCAGCCCATCATGCATGGGGCCGGCGGTTAACACGGCCTGTCCCCACTTGAAATGTGTGTGTGTATATATATATATATATCCATATGTACATATATTCTCTTTCCCTCTCTCTTATTCTTGTCGTGCTCTCTTCCCTCATCTCACTCTTTAAACACAAATACACCGACCAGCTTGGTCTTTACGTTCCAAGGTTATTCTTATATTTTTCCCGACCGTCATGGCTGAAGAACAGCGCGCACGGCATTTGGCCAATCCCGCATCAGCACACTTGATTCAATACATTGATGACGCTGTGAGGGATGTTCTACCAGCTGGCACTCGGCCAATAGGGATTTCTGAAAGTGGAAACTCACACTGGGTTCGGACCGCAAAGCTCGATACAGTCGACAAGAATGGGAAAAAGACGCCATTTTTCTTGAAGGCATGTTAGTCACCTCTCCGGAAGATAGCATTGAGTTAACAAGTCATGTGGGAAAGGTCTACAATTCTGAGAAAGGCAAGGAGGCCTCTACAGCATACGAGGCTATGACCGTTTTATATGCAGCCTGGCCTGAGCTTGTACCAAAACCATTGGCGTGGGGTGCCTACAAGTCCGAGAAGGAGGTGTACTTTCTCATGTGCCAATTCGTGGAGATATCCGGCGAGGTTCCCCGCGTTTCTGACTTCCCTGCTCTCTTGGCGAGGATGCACAAGAAGCCAGGAAGCAAGTCACCGACAGGAGAGTTTGGCTTTCGAACGTCGACCTTTGAAGGCCGAAACCCGGTGGAATTCCCTCTCACTAAAACTTGGGAGGAGACTTTGACCAGGAGCCTTATGACAGCGTTCGAGGCTGAAGAGTTGACCCAAGGACCAGACCCAGAAATGCGGAAACTACGCAAGAGTCTCTTCTCGAAAGTCATTCCGAGATTGATCAGGCCGCTTGAGGCCAAAGGGCGGAGGTTAGAGCCGACGCTTTGCCATGGTAACTTATGGGACAACAACGTGTCCAGCGATAAGATTACAGGCAAGCCCAAGGTATACAATGGGACACCAGTCTATGCACACAATGAGTGTAAGATACGGTCAAGACACCATGAATATGTGTTTGAGACTCATAACTGGGATTTACTGACTCGAGGTGCTAATTACATTCTCAATAGATGAGTTAGCACCATGGTTTGTGCGTCGACACCACATGACAGACGAATATGTCAAAGAGTATATCAAGCACTACGAGGTTGCAAGTCCTGCTGCGGACTTTAAAGACAGAGGCATACTATATAGCCTGTAAGTGCTGCATGTTGGAACTGAGGGTACTCATGATCTGTCCCTGACGTAAACACCAGGCGCTTTGATATTCATGCCTCATCATTATATCCTGGAAATCTCCAGTTCCGCAAGGCGTAAGTCTAATCAATTACACTGAGAGATCTAGGTGATGTGTTCGCTAACATTCCCAGTGCGATGAGCAATATGAGTTACCTAGTGACGAAGTATCCTGAGGGTTATGAAGGCTATGCTCGGAGCATGAAGTGATGTAGTGGTCAATGTTCAGGCGCTTATTTAGAAGACTTTCTTTTGTCATGGTTAGTCACACTGTGCGGTAGATGTGAGTACTATTGGTGTGTGCATATGAACTTAAATATATGGAGTTCTTATATTGAGGGTGCTGTGGTGATTTTTTTTTATGCTCATATTCCCATGCTTTCCTACATAGGTATTGGCTGGGCAAATCGAGCCCGCATTCGGGACTAAAGAGAGCACTGAAAATGCATGACCTGGAGCAAAATGAATTCAGAGTCAATGGGTTTGACAGGCACAGATTTCTGACAGCATGTCCTGCTAGCTTCTGCAGACTAAGAGACACGCAGTGCTGTTATTGATAATCTTATACAAGTCTCCTTTCATAAATGCACCTAAGCCCTGGGCGTTCAAGGAGTTTCAGGGAAAATAATTTATTTCTATGGAATTTTGTACTTGTATCCAAGTCTATTCAAGAGACTTTGTATACCAAATTTTTGTTGCGTTGAGCACACCCAAGTATTTCTGTTCTTTTGTCTTGCTTCAGACTCTCATGTAAAGGGACCATGATGGCAAACCTAATGAGAGATAATGCAAGTTCGGTCTCAAGCGCCCGGAGTGGGTGGACCCTGTAAGAGCTACTGGGTAGGGGTGACCAGGGGATAGGTTGGCTTGGTAGGGAGCGTCATTGGGTTGCTCGCCCCACCTAAACGGCGCGGCTGCCACTACTGGAGCTTCGACTTCAGCCTTGAGGGCCCAAGTCAATGAACGCCAAAGGTCGTCCGTCATTCTTTCTTTCCATTTTTCGCCCACCAACTTCGGCTTTTCCCTCCTTCATACCGTTTAGAAGCAACAATCTTTCACGCGCCAGCACCATATCCGAACAACCTCAGCCTGTCATTCTTCAGCACACAAATTCGAAGCAATAGCAAGATCAAACCCAAACCACCATGATGGCCGACGACAGCGATGGCGAGTACATGAATAACTACTCTGACGACGACCTCGACGATCACCGCGTCACCAGTGGTGCCGACCGAGACAGTGGTATCGACGCTCCGAGGCACGGCGGACGATCACAACCGAGATCTCATGGCGGCGGTGGTGGTGGTGGCGGCAGGCACGGACGCGATCGCCGAAAGAACAACCGAACGCGCGCGGCATGGGAGGAGGGCAAGTTCACATGGGATGTCCCCGAGGATGAGGAAGGGAATGTCTCCCTGACAGCGCTACTCGAGGCTGAAAAGCGGCGCCGCCTGCTGCGCGACACGACCCCTCTACAGCGGGGCATCATACGGCACCTGGTGCTCGTGCTCGACATGTCGTTTGCGATGATGGAGAAGGACCTCTTGCCGAACCGCTTCAGGCTGATGATGAGCTACTCGGTAGAATTCGTGCGTGAATACTTTGAACAGAATCCCATCTCGCAGATGGGCATCGTCATGATGCGCCAGGGTCTTGCGAAGAGGGTGTCTGAGATGAGTGGCAACCCAGCCGTGCTCATAGACAGGTTGAGGGAGCTCGAGAAGGATAAAGAGCCTGACGGCGACCCTAGCTTGCAGAATGCGCTGGAGATGTGTCGCGGCGAGCTGTTGTACGTGGACTATTTCCCTGGTTTCCTCTCTGAGGCTAGGAATGACATGGCTGACTGGTGTTACTGTCCAGCCACGCACCTTCACACGGCACCCGTGAAGCCCTCATAGTATATGGCGCCCTCCTTTCGAGCGACCCAGGCGATATACACGATACCATCAACAATCTTGTTTCAGATCGGATACGTGTGTCTATGGTGGGGCTCGCCGCCCAGGTGGCCATTTGTTCGGAACTCTGCTCCAGGACGAATGGAGGCAACGACAGCTGCTACTCCGTCGCCAAGGATGAGCAACACTTCCGCGAGCTCTTACTTGAGAAAACCACACCGCCTGCCACGCTACAGGCAGAGCAGAGCAGTGCAAGCCTACTGATGATGGGTTTCCCATCTCGTACGAAAGCGGTGGCATACATAGATCCAAACCGAACCAAGCAAACAAGTAGCAAGCAGGCACAGCAGTCGAAGCCAAAGAAGGATGCGATCAGCTTCTGCGCTTGCCATCACAAGCCATGCCGCGAGGGATATCTCTGCACGCGATGCTCGACAAAAGTATGCCGTCTACCAGCCGAGTGTCCCGCCTGCGGACTGACCTTGATCTTGTCAACCCATCTTGCCCGCTCATATCACCACCTCTTTCCTCTGCGCAATTGGGTCACCGTCCCATGGAGCGAAGCACACAAGTCGGCTGCGTGTTATGCCTGCCTCACACCTTTCCCTCAAGTCAAGTCGAAGGACAAAGACAAGGCAAAGGGAAAGGGAAAAGGAAAAGAGAAGGATGACAAGGCAGAGAAAGTTGCAACTGTGGTAGCGGATGCGGACCAGACCAAGGACCTGGCAAAGATCAGCGAGAGCGGGAGGTACGCATGTGTCGTGTGCCACAACCACTTCTGTATTGATTGTGACGTCTTTGCACACGAGGTGGTGCACAACTGCCCTGGCTGCCAGAGCGACACCAGGGCTGCGGCCAAGATGCAGGCAGAAGTGCAGGCGGTAGAGGCTGCTAATGGTGTTACGCATGCGAATGGAGAGATGATTGTGGACTAGACGTTGCACAAAAAACCAGGCGTTGGGAGATTGATTGGCTGCATATTGACTCGAAGAATTGTGATATCCCATAGGAGCGACACAGAGCATCTGGATTCCGAGGCACATTTCATGAAGGCGTTGAGGGATACCAAAATCTGCCCATCAGAGAAAGGCATGGCTCTGGTTATAAATGCTGCATTTAGAGGCATTAAGGTAATATCGCAAATAATATACCATCCAAAACGTATACTAGCATACCGATTCATGCCTCTTGTTATATTGATATGAAGCTTTTCTGCTTTGAAAGCCCTTTGTATAGGTAAGAAAGACCGGAAAGCGTTATCATCGGAAGCTAATCAGTCAAACAATCAGAAAGGTTATTTCATCTCATCTCTTGGCCAGTGCATTTTGAGACGAACTTGGTCGATTCTGCAGACAAGATGAGGGACCTGTGACGTATCTTGAAGAGATGACTCGATTCAACTATGAAATGATTCGCTTTCAGTTCCACTATAACAGTGTCATGCTGTGGCACTGCTCTCTGCTCTATCCAGACTGGTTCATGCCTCAGAGATTGCCCCTTTCGGCCTGCTCCCTCTCAATCGCCTCAAACAGGCTCTTAAAGTTGCCTGCCCCGAAACCATCGAACTCATTGCGCTGGATGATCTCGATAAACACCGTCGGCCGGTCCATGAGGGGCTTGGTGAACAGCTGCAGGAGGTACCCACCCTCGTCGTAGTCAATCAGGATGTGCAGCCTCTCCAGCGTCTCGAAGTCTTCCTTGAGCTCCCAGCCCCTCCTCTCGGTCTTGAGGCGGTGCCGCATGGTCTCGTAATACGTGCTGGGGACGTCGATGAACTGCACGCCGCGCGCGCGCAGCGCCATCACGGTGGAGATGATGTCCGGGGTCAGGAGGGCGATGTGTTGCACGCCGGCGCCCGAGTTGAAGATGACATACTCTTCGATTTGGGACCGCTTCTTCCCCGGAGCGGGCTCGTTGATGGGCATCTTGACCACCTCGTTGGCGCTGGCCATCACGATGCTGTTGAGCGCGCTGAACTCGGTGCTGATCTGGCTGTCGTCGACGGACCAAAACCGGTGGAAGGAAAGGCAGCGCTCGTAGAAGGCGCACGCCTCCACCATGGCGTGCCAGTCCTGGTTGCCGACGCAGTGGTCGATGCGGGCCATCTTGACGTCGGGAAAGGGCAAGGTCGAGGTCGAGGCGGCCGCGGCCCGGAACCCGGGGAGAAATGGGCCTGAGTAGCTGTCCCGGCTGATGAGCGTGTGCGTCGTGTCGCCATAGGTACGGATCACGGCCGTCGTGACGGAACCGAACTGCTTGTCGGCTATGGTCCGGGGCTCCTGCACGGCCTCAGCTCCCTTGGAGACGGCGCGGGTGTAGACGCCCTCGACAGAATCCACCTCGAAGGCGACATCCTTCACAGCGTCACCGTGGCGCTCCAGGTGCGCGTGCATCTCCTGGAGGAGTTTCTTCTCTTCTGACGAGATGGGCTCGTCATCAGGCAGATGTGCATGCGAGCGGATCGGGCTCGTGAAGACGAAGCGGACATCGCCGTTGCTGACGACATGGGATGTGAAGAAGCGGCTGCCTGTCTCGAGCCCGCGGTAGGCCAGAGGTTTCATCCCAAACAGCGTGGAGTAGTACGAGGCAGCCTGTTTGGCATTACCGACCCACCATGTGACATGGTCGTAGCCATTGAAGCTGGGAAGAGGGTTGCGAACGGCGTAGTCCGCATCGTTGGATGTATTGGTGGCATTACCATTGACCTGGTAGGTCATCGAGTCGCGTGGGGATCCATTACTGATAGCAGACGGGCTCATTATCACTCAGCCAGAGTTCTTGAATGTCTCGGTACGGTTGACTCTGGTAAGATTCGGGTTTGATAAAAGAAACAAAAACAAACGAGTTCTTTGGTCTTGATACAAGCCGAAGATAATGGTGAGTAACTTGGGGTTAAGAAGATTAAGTCCTGATGGAATCTTTCCTATGAATCTGGACAGCCTACTCGTGCTAAGGAGTTTCTGGTTATGAGAGAACTTTCAGATCGGCCATGGTGATGGAAGGAAAGGCGTGCATATATTGCTGATCAAGCACACGGCCCAGGGGCGATCATTGCTGTCCAGTTCGGCATTGTCCTGTCCAGCTGACCATGTGGTGGCCACCGCAAGCCGAGAATGTTTGGAGTTCATCCAAGGTTTCCGATCAGACCGACAACTGTCATCTTGTGGCAAGGCCGACTCTGCCGCTTGCGCAGAGGTAAAGGAAGGAGGTCCTTGATCTGCTTAAGCCGGCGGTCGTGAGCAGGCTGTGCCGCCCCAGGGGCGGAATGCGGCCGTGAAGCGATGATGGCCTGTAAAAGCCGCGACATGCCGACGCTAAGCCGCAGGCGGAACTGGTCATCGCGATTTCGTCGATGCGCAATGACCACACTGCCCTGACAGCCAGAGCGACTCTTGCATTAGCCTGGATCCCTTGAGGCTTCCCCGGATCAAACGGACAAATATCAAGCTTCCCCAGAGAACGGCGAGAGCGGGAAATATTGCAGATCGTATCTTCTCGATCTTTTTACTGCCCCAAAACGTATTTGCCGATTCCAATCAAGCCCGGCTGATTATTAACCCTCGGCACACTTGACCTGCTGAGCTCAAGAGACAGACTTCTGTAAGATTTCTAAATCGTGTCCAGCCTCAAAACGTATCGTTCGCGCGACCACAAAGATACCGTCCGATCACCATCTCCCATCTTCTTTGTCAACGCTGCAGGGCCTTGAAGAATCATAAATTCGGGGTCAACGCCGTTTAGTTGTAGAGGACCAAAAGACCGCCTACCGTCATGGCTTATCTGTCGTCTCTCAGCACCCGTGATCTAAACATATTGTAAGTTGCACCTGGCTCGCATGGCTACCAGCCACTTAACTAGATGACGCCTGCTGCAACCGTGCTGATCACCAAAATCCAATAGGGAGAAAATTCAGGATCCAGAATTCGACCCATCCCAGACTGTGCAGGTAGATTCATCATTACCCAAGGATCCAAACGTCCAGAATATCACCGAGTATGAGAGTATTGCAGCAGAAGAGAAGAGGATAATATTGGCGGTCCAGCAAGCCGAACTTCAGCTTGCTGGTCTGAGACCAAGGACGAACACAAACCCAGTCGACGCGTATAAGGAGTGCCTAGCAGGACTGGGTACACTGCTCTCATCAAATCCATCGTATGGTAGTGCCAGGAACAACCGGGCGCAGGCGAGCCGGCGTCTGTACGGCGATGGGATGCTGGTTGCAGGAGTTGAGCCATCCGATAACCCCTTGATCGTCGGTGGTGATAGGGATGAGAGGCTTTCTGCTGCAGGTCAGGCCTTGTCAGATCTTGAGACCTGTATATCGCTCCTTTCACCAACCAGTCCGCATGCACGCCTGTCTCCACACGCAGCGAAGACCCTGTCCCTTGCGCATACGCAGAGGGCGGCGATCTACCACCAGACATCGAAAATGCTTGCCAGAGGTGGTGAATTAGATGTTGATCCGGCCAGGAGAGAGGCGTCTTGGAAGAGGCTTGACTTTGAAGAGGCTGCATCGATGGATTTCGCTCTTGGGGGGAGGTACGGCAATGAGATTGCGAAAGGCTTGGCCGTCAGCACCAATCCAACGGCGAAGTTGTGCGGACAGATGGTCCGAGAGGCGATGAAGAAGGAATATGGCCCGGCTTTTGGTGGATAATTGTGTATGAGTCGGTAACACAATTCATGATGCGGACCAGGTGCCGCCTTTGAAAACAGTTTCGCCAGCTTCTTCCAAGAGGTGCTCAGTGAAAATCAGAAGCGGCATCCTCCCTTTCTGGCTGTCTCGACGGGGCGAGACGACCCCAGATAACCGTCGATGCCTTCCTGCGTTGGCCAAAGAGGTCATTGTGGGGTTATAGCAGCTCAGGACTCCTTTTTGGACAGTCCAAGTCTCCTGTAGTCAACATGAGTCAGATGACAATCAGAATCATGAGCACAAATGCGAGCTTCTATAGATGACATGCCTTCGCCCTGCGTCCAACGTTTGGGACGTGGTCCTGCCTTTCTCTTTCTCTTCACGATTGATCCTCGTAGCTGCCGCAGACAGTCCAATAAAAACGGCAAAGATCGGGTCTGCGACCTTGGAGATGATATAAGTGGGTGCAGGCATTGTTGGTGAGTTAGCTGCCTTCTTCGGGATGTTTCTTTCTCGAGATGCGGCGTTCTAGTAGGCGAAACGGGTGCTGTCACTAGAACTCGATATTGTGTTTCTGTCTCCTACAGAACGCGACAATTGTATATCTTGGTCTGTGTGATTCAATTCACACTCTCGACAACTTCCTGTACACTCCGATAAGAAAATCGGGCTGAGGTTGGGTGAGGGGTGCTAGCTTCAGCCTCCTGCACCTTTCCACAGCTCTAAGGGAGCAGACCCACCTCCTGTCACGTGCAACTGAAGTGGTCCGTGCGCCGCGAAAATTAGCAGAGCCCACAGCTTTTTCGCTACCTACCCATCAACGCCAGCGACACTGACCTCCAATATCGCACCCGCAACAAACTTCATTCCCACTCCCTCACGACCCGACCAGCAGTCACAATGAAGTTCCTCAAGGTTGGCCGTGTTGCCATCATCACCCGTGGCCGTTATGCCGGAAAGAAGGTGAGAATTAACCGACCTCTACCACTCCGATTGTTTTGACGAAGGCGGGACGAATGCGAATCGGCACGAGGATCAATGATAGTGATTGGATCAATGCCAACGGGTCATCGGTGCATTAATTGAAGAGCTCGGGAATTTCGCAGTCCAGCATGGTCGAACGATCGTTTGTTGGGTCAGGGAAAGAAGGAGAGAGGAAACAGAAAGGCTGACATTAGCGCTTTTTTCACTTTTTCAGGTCGTGATCATCCAGCCCGTCGACACTGGCAACAAGTCGCACCCCTACGGCCACGCCCTGGTCGCCGGTATTGAGCGCTACCCCTCCAAGATCACTCGCCGCATGTCCAAGACCCGCCAGGAGAAGCGCTCCAAGATCAAGCCCTTCGTCAAGGTCGTCAACTACAACCACCTGATGCCCACCCGCTACACCCTCGAGCTCGAGGGCCTCAAGGGCGCCCTCACCGCCGACACCTTCAAGGAGGTGTCTCAGCGTGAGGAGGCCAAGAAGACTGTCAAGAAGACCCTGGAGGAGCGATACACGAGCGGCAAGAACCGCTGGTTCTTCACCCCTCTGAGTACGTCTAGACAAAGACCCCCTCCGAAACCTCTACCTTTTCCCCTTTTGCAGCAAGACTTTACAATAATTCGTACAAACGGCGCATTGAGGCAGTGCTGCTCTTCAGGTCTGAGGGGTTGGCAAATTTCTGTGGAAAGAGATTCGCTAACACAAAACTTTTACACAGGATTCTAAGCACGTTTCTTCCTTGATTTCGGTTGGGCGGGGGCGAACTGGTCTGGATGTATACAGCATCACAATACAAAAAAGAACAATCGACGGCATCGAAAGAAAAAGCTGCTGCTCTTACGACTCCCCCGATTGATCGTGACCGAAACAATCGGGTAAGCGGTCGACAACCTCATCTTTGGCGTTCTTCTATCGGGCAGGCAATTGCGTGAGGGGACCTCAAATACCACATTACGGGAAGACAAATGTGCTCTGGGATTCGGAGAAGGGATGCCGTGCTAGCTAGGAAATCCCCGTAGTGGACAGAGAATACGACTACGGCTCCCCTGGCTGCCGCTTCATGAAACAAAATTTTAGTTGGTCTCCATGAAGTTGGTCTCCATGAGGTTGTTTATGTGTTGTGTATCTGGAACAACCGGTAAAACGTACAACACCACTTGCCCGGCCTGGTCCTGGACGGCCCGATTCCAAAAGTAGCAAATCCTACCAAGCCATCGAGACATCCATGTTGAAGGGTACTTCATTTGTATCCCAAAGGGTCTGGTCGATGATCTGCAAGCCAAGCCGCTGTGAGATGCCGAGCAGACATGGTCGACCACACACAGTCGGAGAGCCTTGGTCCGCGAGCAGCAACGTCCTGGCCTAGGCAGAACTTTCCTATCTGCGCAATTTTTTGTTCAATCCCATCCGTTCATTGATTTTATGCGCTGAAAATCGCTCCCATAACGGGACGACCTCACATCCCAGTCGTTCAGACTGGACTTTTGAAGGGGGGAAAAGGGGCCGAGGGGCCGTATCGCTGCCCTTTTGGGTTGTCCTGACAGGCTTGTGCTACTATCTATCATCAACAGTTGGAAGACCTATCATGGAGCCAAGTCTTCAAACCCAGGTGCACAGAAAAAGCAGCCATACGTTTAACCGATCACCCACCAACAGCCACACAGCCTGATATCTCAAGTCAAAAGTACCATTGTTCAATTCAGTAGACCACTAAAAAAGCAGCGACTGTGTATCCGTTTTACAAGTCTATTTTCATTCAGTCTAGAAATCATATGCCTGTCTGGTCCGCATCAAACGTGACGCCTATGGGATGGATGCGCCGAGTAAAAAGATTCAAAAAAAATCCCTGTGCTCGCTCTATGTGCACCGCCACAAAAGCCCTACACCAACATGCCCCCCCGAAATCATTCCAACTCAAGGAAGACCTCCAGCATCCTCCTGAAATTAGGTACGAGAAAAAATTGAGAGACGTGGCACGTGGGGGCCGTCTCAAGTATGTGCCGTCAGAATCCTCCAACAACCCCGAACGACAGCAGCTGATAAGCCGACCGTATGTCCAAACAGCCTCTTTGCTGGGATCGATCAGTTCAGCTTGCGCTCGAAGCCAAGAAAAACAATGTTTATACCGAGGTGCCGAAGGAGGGAACCTTGTTGGCTACTGCACTGTAAAGAGCATTGGGGTTGGGAACATAATCGGGGGCGTATTTCGGTGCCACGCCGCCAAAGAGCAGGAAGAGGAACAGCACGGAGCTGCCGATGATGATGAGCTTCCGCATGGCCGGGCGGGTCTGCCCAAGCTCGCCCCACTGGCGACCAGCCTCGCTGGCGTAACCCTTGAGAGCGTCCGCGCCGAGCTTGTAGTAGACCATGCCGGCGAGGGCGATGCTGTATCCGAAGAACTGCAGACCGCTGACCTGGGTGCCCCAGATGAGCATGGAAGCAACGACGAGCAGGACATCCTTGAGGACACCGCAGAGCGTGAGGACTAGGGAGGAAGTCTTGCCGATCTGTACCAATCATGTCAACGGAAATCCATCTTCGGAGCCCGACGAGGTTTGAACTTACAAGCATGACGACTGAGACGTTCAGACCGAAGGCAACCATTCCGTTGAGTAGGAACGTGAAGAGACCAACGTTGTAGACCTCGGCCATCGACACTTTAGGGACCTCCCAGAAGAGGGCGACGACCAGGTTCATGGCCGCGCAAACAGGCGCGAAGTAATAGAGCGAGACAAGAGGGTCCATCTTGAATTCAGCACCGCTCAGAAGACGTTGCACCATGGTAAGACGGGTGGCCTCGAAGGCAACTCCGGCCATCTGGTAGATAAAGCCGAGCATGTCAAACTTGATTTCTCCGACCGAGGCGATGATGACACCGACGACGATGGCGGAAACATTGAGGAAGGTCTTGAGGCTAGGCGACGAGACGCCCAGAGCCCAGCCGGCCAAAAGGACAGCGACGGGAGTGGTAGCCTTGAGCATCTGGATGAAGGCAACGCTGAGGTACAGGTAGGTCAGATTGCTGCAGATCAAGCTCATGCTGAACATGACTCCGATGGGGACAATGGCGCGCAGATAGACACGTCCGGTCATCTTGACAGTCTTGCGCCCATCGAGCCACGTGGTGTAGCGGGCCAACAGCTGGGTCATGATGGTCGAGAAAATCAAGTGGTAGGTCGTCAGGATAACGGGATAGTCTGGGCAAAATGTCTCAGTCAACGGCTCGCTCCGCGCGATGTCTTTCGAGGATCGAACATACGGAACTGAAGGGTGTCGAGGACCCATTTGTTGAACAGGATGACGGAGGAACTCAAGCTGATCCAAACTCTGTGCGAATAGGGTCACAAGGTTAGCAACTTGTATGGTTGCGCACGTCGGTCGTGTACAAAAAAGAACCCCCTGGGGCAACCTACGCAACGTAGACGGCAGAAGGTATAGACGCCTTTGCAGGCTCTGGCCTCTGCACATCGGGATTGACAGTTGGCAGCACAGGAGCAGCCTGCTCCCTCATGACCTCGCCGGAGCTGCGCTCTTTCTCAGCCATTTTGTTATGATGCTGGGCGTTTCGAAGAAAACAAGAAAGATTAAGTAGGTGTTAAAAGAAGTGTCCAGCGTGTCGTCGCCAGTGCAGAGTTCAATAAACACTTCGCCGCAATGGAGGGCTTGATGGAAAGGAAGAAGAAGAGAAGAAGAAACTGAAGTAACGAGTGGACAGTTTGCTGGTGCGATTGCTATTTGCGATCGTGGTGGTTGTTGTTGTTTTTAAGAATAGGTAGGCCAAGACCACGCAAACCTGAGACGAAGGAAGATAGGGCCGTGGAAAAAGAGAAGAGGAAGTCCAGGCCGTCTGGTGGTCTTTCGCTTATGAAGAGGAGAACGGACCTTGAACCGGGTATTTGCAGCCGCTACCAGGGGCTATGCCTAATCGCAGTGTCTGACAGGGCAGGTGGATGGGGGGAAGGGGAAAAGGAGGATGAGCGGTCGTGGTCGCAGTGGGAGGAAAATCGACAAGGTTCCTAATTCACTGTCGGGGCAGTTCATTAGCTGGGAGTTGGCAGTGCCAAGGTTGACCCATCTGTAAAGTACCTGAACCTGGCAGCGAGCGATATGAACGATGCGGCGATAAGGGGGGGATGGCAAATGGGGCGCGGCCTCCAGGAAATAGGGGCTGCAGGGTTTCGCCAGATTCTTCTTGGATTTCTTGCCCGAATGAAATTGCGCCTCTCGCAACCACCCAGTCCGCGCTCGCTTTTCACCTTGACAAGCCAGCCATAAGACACTATACTATGTAGCAATGTGGCTGGTGGGCTGTAATTTCCAGCGTCTTTTGGTTTTCATAGCGTATCCTGAAAGCATTCAGAGTATTTTCTTAGGCGGGAGGGAAACAAACCAAGGTAGGCGGTGAGTACCACGGTACTGAAAACTCTCTTGAGGATGACGACGACTTGCTCCTGGGGAATCCATTGTGAACACACTCTATCTGGCAAAGGCGATTTTACCTTTTTTTGCTTTTTCCTTCTCTTTTAACCCCATCCCAAAATCGCACACTCCGAGCCGCTTTTCTTTGTGACAGTAATATTCCCTTCAGGTCTAATCAGAGCTTTCGAGTCATGTACATAGTATATCCTTTTTTCTTCTTCCTTTTTTCTTTCTCAACAGCAGAATCAGCACAAGGTGACGTCGATTGAGGAGTCAGTTTTTATCGGCTCGGAAATCTCGACATGTATATGCCAAGGCAAGACGATGCAGCTGACGTCTGCACGCTGACTGCTGGGTTATTCCCGTGCGGCGAGCGGCATTCGTAGAAGGACGGAACAAGCCGGCAGTTGAGTGACATCCTAATGTAAGACGCTGGAGTCTTTGTCTTGTTGTGTCTCCCAAGGCTCTGTAGCTATTGTTGTATAGGACCGTGCACAATTGCTAGATTACTGCGCTGCCAGGGACCAGCGGGATCCTGAACTGGGTTGCCAGCTCGTTAGAACAGATCTCTCATGGGTCACTACTGCCCACGTGTTCTCGACCCGGTGCGCTATGCTGTCTGTGACCATGTGTACAATACCCTAGAGGCACTGATTGTTCATCAACCACACTATCGCTGGACGAAACCCTGGACTACATAATGAACACGAGTCCAAGTAAGCCGTTCTCCCTCGCTGATTCGCGGAAGCCAAGCATCTGAGGGAGGGAATATTTCTGTGAGTGAGACTTTTCATGTTAATGGCGTAGGAAAGTTGCGTTGTGGCGTGGGCTAGATGTCCGCTACCCGGAACCAATACCGGTACGGAGTAGCATCATATAAATAGAACCCCCAATATCGCCGCCGTTCGAGGGGTGTGGACTGGATGGTGCCGGACCAAAATTGCCCGAGTCATGGAAATCACTGGCCATCCCGTAGTGCACGTTCTATCCCAAACCACGGCTCGGCTAATTAAGCAGTAGTCCATAGTACTATGGGTATGCAGTAGTCAGCCGTGAGGCTCTCATTTGAAGGTCTTTCACACTTGCGTCATGGCGAATTGAAAATCGCCCGAAAGAGCTCATTTAGATGCTTTGCAATAATTATTTGATGTGAAGCAATCATCTCTATGCGACTTAGCGTTGCTCTTCCTCATCAGAATACTATCTCGGCCTTGGCCAAGACGGCATGTCTGGCCAGGGTGCTTTTCTTTAGAAAAATTGCTAGGGTTATTTCAAGAGCCGCAATCGCGCGGCAATCCTACCCAAATACGGTCAATGAATCTGCTATGGAGATTTATCTTCGGTATTAATCAACTGCTGATCCCACCATGGTGAAACGGGATCAGCAAACCAAGAGATCTGCAGCCAACAAAAGAAGCAAGAAGAAGGATCTGTTATTTTTTTTCCCCTCCCTTTTTTCCCTTCTTTTTCTTCTTTCTTTTCTTCTTCAATTGACTGCAGGACGGTGTGCCCCCTGAAACCAGCTCCTTCTGCCCTGCTGGTCTCACAGGCCGTCAACCCAAGGCCTGTAGTAGACGGAAAGGCGAGGCACAAGATTGAAGTCAGTCTCATCTTAAGGTTTGTAGGAAATCAATCCGTGGATGTGGTCTGTCGCATTCTGGGGCCCTCATGACGCACGTATCAAGCACGAGCACGCCGTGGTTGTGGTCAAGATAACTGGATAGATTACCACATGCATCGCTCATTTCATAGGAAATTAAACGTACCGGGGGGACTGGTAGTAGAGGTTACACTTTAAAGATTGATGAGCCGGACTTTGAGTCCAAAAACCGCTCAACAAGTCGATGGCGAAAGACAATTCAAGTCGTCAGGAAATTAACACCCGTCACCTTGCAGCAAGCTATTGGCTTCCGCTGCCTTCCGTGCACGCTCTAGCACTTTGCGAAGGTTCTCGCATGGTCGCCATATTTTTAGATAATGTTGATCTACCTGTATGTTATGTGTTCCGCCGAACATCTTTTATTACACAACTTTGAGACGGTGAGGATGGCCCGTGAGGGTGGGGACTAACCCACCACTAAAACGTCAGATCATGACCACCTGTCTCATGGAGGAATTTCATGTCACCAACGAAAACTTAGCAAACTTAGCAATGTTGGAGGGTATTGTCCGAGACAGCTACGACATTATAAAAATAAGAAATTAAGAGAAGAAGAGAAAGAAAGAGGGAAGAGGGAAGAGGAGGAAGAAAGGATGAAAAAGGCGATGCGGTGCCTTGTCACACTGGTAAAGGAAGCAGGAAAGATGTTGAGTTTGTACAGCAAGCAGACATGCCAAATGCAACTAAGCTCGCCACCACATCGTACAAGACAGAGAAGAGAGGGGGAAATAAAGGCGGAGGATTAGAAGCGAAAAAAAAGAAGGAAAAAAAAAGACCCAGAGAAAAGTAAAGAAAGATTTAGCGAAAACCTACACTATCTGCCAGCCCGTCTCTCAGCGCCAATCATGACCACCTGCCATAGTAGGTTGTTTCTCATGTAGACCTATCACAAAGTAGTTAATCTCAACAGGTGTTGTTGAAGAGCTTAAAAAAAAAAGCTCTCGAAACACTTTTGTCACCGCCATCCCACCATCAGTATTGCTGCGGTTTGAAAGATCCATGTACAGAGGCCAGCTGGCCCTTATGCCGTTCGCGACCCACCATATCTACTAACACGAGGGCCCACGAGCGCCACCCACTTGATGTCCACCGCTGCATTGCCAGCAGTTGAACCTGTTTCAAGCCTTTTGGCCCCTGTCATTCCATCCCTCGAGCTGCCCAGGGCTGCCCGCCTACAGAACTTAGCGTGGTCTGTGGGTGGGGGACCCCCTACCTGATCCCTGCATTCCATTCATTTTACCGACGAGTTGTGGTCCAGGTGAAAAGAAGAAAAAAAAGGAGAACCCCTCCAAAAGCACGGCCACGGTCTGGGGGAGAAAGGACAGACCCCTGAGTGATCAGTGATAGACAACCAGCTCGAAGCTCCAGAGGGATTATTATCTTTCTGCCGTCCTTCCGCCACCTTGACCTGTTCTTGCGATCTGTTTTCTTACCTTCGACCTTAGACTCTTGTCCCAAACCACAACACGCCTGTTTGTCTTCGTGCTGAACTGTCGCGAACAACAGAACCAGACAGCTCCTCCTTCCTACCACATCACGCCGAGTTTACTCTGTTCAAGCACTCACAATGGCTGACGTGTACGTTCCTCGGACCTCCCAGTGCCAGCTCACTGCTTGGTGCAGCTTCAGAAACCCCCCATCATATTTACTAACAATGCCAATTGTACAGCAACGTTGATGTTCTCGTTATTGGTATGGGCCCAACGGGTCTGGGCGCTGCCAAGCGCCTCAACCAGGTCGTACGTATTGCCACTGGGACTGCTGAGCTCTGTTCTTGCCTGATATGCTGTAGACTAACACATATATTCTGTTTAGAACGGTCCCTCGTGGCTGATCGTGGACTCGAGCGAGAAGGCGGGTGGTCTCGCGGCGACAGATGTCACTCCTGAAGGCTTCGTAAGTTGCTGCCAAACCAATACGCTATCCTCCATCCTCCATATCTCAGCGGTAGCAGCTGGACTAACAGCAACTGTATTTGACAGTTGTACGATGTCGGCGGTCACGTCATCTTCTCCCACTACAAGTATTTCGATGACTGCCTTGACGAGGCCCTGCCCAAGGAGGACGACTGGTTCAACCACCAGCGCATCTCCTACGTCCGCTACAAGGGCCTCTGGGTTCCTTACCCTTTCCAGAACAACATCTCCATGCTGCCAAAGGAGGATCAGGTCGCAGCCATCGAGGGTCTCATTGATGCCGCTCAGGAGGCTGCCGTCACCAAGGCTAAGCCCAAGAACTTTGATGAGTGGATTGTTCGACAGATGGGTGAGCACATCGCAAACATCTTCATGCGCCCCTACAACTACAAGGTCTGGGCTGTGCCCACCACCAAGGTATGTCATAATTCCGCCCTGGCATTGCGTATTGTACGATGAGGCTAACCAGGTGTCAAGATGGCCTCTGACTGGCTCGGCGAGCGTGTTGCTGCTCCCAACGTCAAGCTCATCGCCAAGAACATCATTCTCAACAAGACTGCCGGTAATTGGGGTCCCAATGCCACGTTCCGCTTCCCCGCCCGCGACGGTACTGGTGGTATCTGGATCGCCGTTGCCAATACTCTGCCCGAGGAGAAGAAGCGCTTCGGCAAGAAGGGCGCGGTCACCAAGGTGGATGCTGAGAAGAAGATTGTGCACATGGGCGACGGTAGCAAGATCGGCTACAAGAAGCTCATCTCCACCATGAACGCAGACCAGCTTGTCGAGAAGATGGGCGACGAGGAGCTTGTCAAGATCTCCAAGGGTCTGTACTTTTCATCGACCCACGTCATTGGCGTTGGCCTGCGCGGAGCTCGCCCCGACCGCATTGGTGACAAGTGCTGGGTAAGTTCGCTTCACGTTCCTACGTGTGCCCTGTAATGGCGAATGGTCGCTGACGTGTAAATGACTCTAGCTGTACTTCCCTGAGGACAACTGCCCCTTCTACCGTGCCACCATTTTCTCCAACTACTCTCCTTACAACCAGCCTCAGAAGGACGTCAAGCTGCCTACCCTCTACAAGGCCAACGGTAGCAAGGCCGACTCTACGGAGGCTAAGGAGGGCCCTTACTGGTCCATCATGCTGGAGGTGTCGCAGTCCACCATGAAGCCCGTGGACGAGGACAACCTGCTCAAGGACTGCATCCAGGGTCTGATTAACACTGAGATGATCCTGCCCGAGGATGACATTGTCTCCACCTACCACCGCAAGTTCTACCACGGCTACCCCACGCCCGCCCTTGAGCGCAACGGCGTGTTGGCGGAGCTTCTGCCCAAGCTGCAGGCCAAGGACATCTATTCCCGTGGCCGCTTCGGCAGCTGGAAGTACGAGGTCGGCAACCAGGACCACTCTTTCATGTTGGGTGTCGAGGCCGCCGACCACATCGTCAATGGTGCCGTTGAGCTGACGCTCAACTACCCTGACTTCGTCAACTCTCGTGCCAACACGGAGAGACGTCTGAACTGAGGCAAACGAGAGACTTGGAGCACACGTATGATGAAAGGCAAGCAGGGCAGGCAAGGTTGATTCGGGTTAGGAGTTGCATGGGAATTAAAGATAGGAAGGATGATTCTTTTGACATTTCTGATGAGGATTTTTTTTATTTTTTATTTTGCAATTGCCATCGTCCGGCTAGACGGCATGGAAAGATCCGCATCCATGGCATAAACACCAATCGTCGAAAAACAAAAGACGGACACGACGGAGAAATGAGAGGATTGGTAGAGAGAGAGAGAGAGAGAGAGAGAGAGAGAGAGAGAGAGAGAGAGAGATACAGACATGACCGCCCGCCGGTCCTGGGTATACACAAATCCAAGGCTTCGATAGACATAGATATTCTTTTTGCTTGTCTTCATGGCAATCACCACCCGCAGCTTCTCCTTCTCATTTTACATCGACCCAAAAATTCTGTGATCCTAACAAGATGTCGAGTTCAACAGCGTGCAGTCTTCTAGAAGCATTTTCTCAGGCCCGGCCGCCTGAAACAGCCGAATTCAGGGACCATGCTTCACTGAGCTTGGGACGATTCCCACCCGCACCAGCCGCTGATGTCATAGGAAGAAGGGACGGGGTAGTGAAAAACATGCAAGAACGGAGAGAAAAGGCAAATTTAGCGACACGGGATTGCGGCGCCGGCACGCCCGAGTTGTGCGCATCAGACAACTTGAAACTGTATCGCGAGCAACAGTTGTACAGCTTTCTGGGGAGATAGGCTTGTGGAGTTGTTTAAACGATCTACAAAAGTTTTGTTGAATATTTAGTCTCTACAATCACCCCTCAAAATGAACCCATAAGAAACAGCTCATGTATTTCCATACGAAATTGTTGGTGGGGATGCACAAACCTCTTGTGGAATGTGTGATGGGGGATATTTCTGGGTCTCGGAACACTCTTTAACTGGCCCTATGGATTGTGCTGTGAAAAGGGGGCAAAAAGAGATATTCTCCCAGAGAATGAAAGATCGTCTTCTGAATATGGAAGAGATTTTCTTCAAGCGTACGATGTACCTGTCAATCGCAGCTGTTGTCCAATCAGTCCTGTCCACCTAGACACTTTCCCGGCAAGGCCCCAAAAGCACCACGGTATCACTGCCAAAGAATTTTGTAGGCCAATTCAAGCCTAAGGATGCAAGACTAGGTGGCAGCAGCACTATGTCTGAAAACGATACTTCCTGCAGCTACACCCAGGCCAGACTGTTAGCTGCAGAGCAGAGGCGCAAGAATCAGGAGATGCTGCGAATTTTTGTGTGATAAGAGGATGCATGTGTCAGCAGCTTGATCTTGTGCACTGGATGCTCCTCAAGTGACTTCCCTCCCTTTCCTGTTGACAAACAATACAGCTACTCACAGTGGAACGACCCACCAAATACAGGGTCTAGAATCCCACAAGGCTGGACTTGTATCCCCCTTCTCGGCCCTTCTCTGATGTGCAGTAAAGCGTCTGAGTAGCTGCTCAGGGATTCGATATCTCACACCAAGCCCAGCCGCTCCGGCAGCAAACAAGCTTACCTTCAGCGGTCGTCAGAACCTAGAATTTAGGACGAAGAGGTCCCAGCCACCCCTGTCCTCAGTAAGTCAGACACTACCTCACTTTTTGGGAGGCATTACCTCATCGCTGCTGGTGCCGACCTCCCAAAACCCAACTACTCCCAGTCAAGTCTTTTAGAGTGTGGGGATCCAAGCAGCATCCGATCTGAAGAACGCAAGACATTCGAGGGTCTTGCTGCAAGTCTCAACGCCACCCGCGCATATCTCGTTCAACCTACACGCGTACGCCCGTGCAACAGAACAGCAGCAGCAACACTACACTAACACAGGCCAGCAGCGTGCTCGGTCGAGGTCCCTGCGTTTCTCCTGTACAGCGAACCATGTTTCCAAGCGGGCTGAGACCAGGTCACGACAGCTGAGGGTGTGTGTCTCTCAACCTTTCCAGCCCTCCCACTTCTCGCGCGCCGCAGACCGCGCCGATACCGACACCGACGCCGGCCTGTCTCCTCCCCCAGTCCAGCAGGATGGACGGGTCGGCCATTCAGGACGATCTGCTGGATTCGGCGCTCGACCCCCCACCGCGCATCTTCGAGCGGCTCTCGCAGATCGCAGGGTACTCTTGGGACGAGACAATACCTCCTACACATTCTAGCTACGACAACTGGTAGGCGCACCCTGGGCTTTGATCTGTGTGTACATGTACAAATTCTGATGATTGTCTTTTTTCATTTTTTGTTTATGAGCAGGCACATCAGTGGCACCCGTTTTGCACCCCGATACTCGAGCCAACATGGGACCAGCCCGTCGTCCGCGGCCAGAGGCTTCTCGAACGCTTCGAGCTCGACGCGGGTCTCTCCTTCCGAACCGCCGCCCTCGTCATATTCGAATGGATCGTTTAGTGAAGCCAGTGCCGGCGGCGACGACTCTTCCGTCGGAGCGGTGGTGGAGCAGCCAGTGATCGCAAAGGTGTCCTACCATGTCCTGCGGGAAGAGAGGGTATTCCATATCATGAAGAATTTGGTAGCTACCGCAGACCCCAATCAGGAACACATACCACAGCCTTTGGACCTGGTAAGGCTCGCCCCCGCGCCGGGAGACCGGGCCCAGATCATCGTTGCGATATATCACTCTCCTGGCCACAATCTCCTTCCCAAGATCATGGACATGGGGCCAGCGTTCTACAACGCTCGCAAGGTTGAGGATAAATGGGTCGCCGACATCCGAGATCCACGGCTCGAGACCCCAATCAGTCTGAACTTGTTCTTGGACTTCGCTATCGGCGCGACGCAATGCCTGGAAATGATACATCACGGCGTGGGTGTTATACACGGCGAGATACGAGGCGACTCTTTCCACTTCAACGAGGAGACGAGTAAAGTGAAACTGGTGACTGTCGGGTCCGGACTGCGATCTTTTGAGCACGGCCTGACAAGCACGGGCTGGTCCAGCTTGTCCAAAGAGATTGGGGCCAAAAACAAATTGCTGTATATCAGCCCAGAGCAGACGGGACGAATGCCCGCCGAGCCGGACGCGCGGACTGATATCTACTCCTTGGGCGTTCTTTTCTGGATACTGTTGACGCAGAGTCCAATTTTCGATGGGGACACACCGCTGGACATCGTACAGGGAGTACTGGGTAAGAGAATCCCGAACGTGTCGACGATCCGGCTAGACGTCCCGGATGTGCTCGGGAGGGTCATCCAGAAGTGCACCGCGAAGAACGTCGGAGACCGATATCATTCCATAAGCGGCCTGAGATATGACTTGGTGAAGGTACAGGAGTTCCTGTGTGATGGCAACTGGCAGGCGCTCAAGGAATGGCGTATTGCGTCTCGAGACGTCAGCTCGTTCTTCTTGCTCCCTTCGATAATGATTGGGCGGCAAAAGGAACGGGCGGAGCTCTTGAAGGTCATTGAGCGGGTTGCCAAGTCCCATGCCATGACCCAGCAGGGTCAGCCAAATAGATTTTCCGATGCATCAGGTTTGTCGAACGAACTTCTGGATGCTGCTGACTTGTCTGCGAGCGATGGAGGCAGCTCAGAGGCTGGCGGAAACAGGCAGAGCGGCTCTTATACTGCTACTATCGGCTCTGATCCAAGGTCTCGAAGCAGTGTGATCCCATCGTCGGTCTACTCAACCGACTCCCCAGGCCTATCAGGAGATTTGATCACACCTAGCCGCACATCAGCGAAGCCCTGGGATCGGCATCAGTCCATATCGCTCGAAACGAGGAGTCTGGTGAACAGTCTCGGCGAAGAGCGGGAGTCTCGGTATACGCCTACAACTGATTCCTCATCTAGTCTCTCCAGACAGTTAGGCAACGCCAAATTCCGCCGACGAGGGCACTGCGAGGTTGTCACCATCGAGGGAGCAGGCGGTCTAGGAAAGACTTGTCTTGTGCAGTCTGTCCTCGCCGATTCCAGGAGAAGCGGATACTGCGCCACCGCTAAGTTCGACACGGCTAGGAGAACAGCATTCGGGCCTCTTCTCAAGTTACTTTCCTCTCTCTTCCGACAGGTCTGGGGCGAACGCAACACCGAGACACCGTTCCACCAAGCCCTGAAGCAATATATTCGGCCAGCATGGCCGATGCTGCATCAGGTGCTCAACCTCCCAGAATTTCTCATCGGTCCTGTAGATACAAGCATCGCCAGGAGCATGTCCAATGCGTCGGGGCCAAGCGTGCAGGCAAGGAACAGGGCGTCCGGGGTAGTGAAGCGCAGGGGCTCATCGCCCGGAGGAACGTCGACTCCACCTTCGTCCTCTTACCGTGGTTCTGTTGTGTCGACTACAAGCTCACAGGATTTTTTACGGACTGGCGCATCGACCAAATCAATCCGGATGATGAACACGTTCCTCGACGTTCTCAGAATGTTTGCACACCACAAATTCGTCTGCTTTGTGCTTGAGGATCTTCATTTTGCGTGAGTACTTTTTGTGTCCGGCCAGAGCTGCTGAGGCATCAGTCATCCTTCCAGGGTGTTCTGAGGACTTAATACTTCGGGCCAAGGGAGCAGTTAATTGACATTGACCCAGGGACGACGAGTCACTAGAACTCATCACTCAAATCATCAGCGCAAGGCTCAAGATGGTCATCGTCATGACGTATCGTCCGGAAGAGTTGTCCCCTCAAAAGGTCCAAAGCATAATATCCCCACCCGACTTCGAAGACCAACCCAGAGGACCAATCGTCACCCGTATTCCGCTCTCGCCCCTGGGAGAAGATGAGATTATCCAATATGTCTCGGCAACGCTGTCGAAACCAAAGGAGGACATTCTTCCCTTGGCTTTGGTGATTCAGTCAAAATCCGGCGGCAATCCCTTTTACATACGTGAGATGCTCTCTGCCTGTCACAGCAAACGATGCATCTTTTACGATTACAAATCGAGTCAGTGGGTTTACGACCTTGACAAGCTGTTTGAGGAGTTCCAGGGTGAGCAGAACTATGATGTGCTCGACACAAACTTCATCACACGGCGTCTTAGCGAACTACCAGAAGCTTCAAAGTGTCTCCTTGGATGGGCCGCTCTTCTTGGTCACTCATTCTCCTTCGGTACGTTTTTATCCCCACGCATTAGTCCGAAGCAATTTCTCGTCACCTCTTCGACTCTCACTTGATTCCTTTTTTTTTTTTTTTCTTCCCAAATCACAGAGTTTTCTTAATCAACATGGGCTCCCAGTCCGTCTCAGGGGCTAGTGTTTTCTGACCCAAAAGCTACGTAGATCTCATTTGCCATCTCCTCAGGGGTGAGTGTCAAGATGCGTGTGCCTTGTCACCATCGGAGCACATACATCGTCCTTATAAGCAACAAGAGGCGGTGGCGGGGTTGCAGGCAGCGATCCAGGCTCTGGTAATAGTACCGAGCGAGACCGATGACCGCTTTCGCTTCGCGCACGATCGATACATACAAGCCGCTAGTCAGCTGAAACTTTGTGATGCGCGGAAGATGCATTTTGTAATCGCCCAGGTCCTCATGAAGTACTACTTAGAGGATGGCAAGATGAAAGAGAACATCGCCTCGCATATCTGCGAATCCGTCGACATCATACGGCAGCGCGTGCAAGTTCGGCGACCCTATCGTCAGCTTCTGTTTGACTGTGCAAAGGTCAGCACGGAGCGCGGTGCGAGACCGACTGCCGCCAAGTTTTACACCAACGCGGTTGCGCTTCTTCAAACAAACCCCTGGGACGACGGCATAGAGGATGTCTCGTACGAGGAGACAAGTCAATTATACCTCCGTGCCGCGGAGTGTTATCTTTGTAAGGCGTCCCGCTGTCCATGCCGAGACTCTTTGATTCGCACAGTACTAATTAGACTCTGTCAAGACATGGGCAACCACGGCGCGGCTAATGCCTTGCTGGGAACTATTTTCATGTCAGGTAGGTCGCTCGGAAGCAGCAGTTCAGTCTTCCTTTTTCCTTGACTGACCATTGTACAGCGAGAACTGCATTCGACAAGGCGCCCGCCTCTGTTCTGCAAGCTAGGATATTCTCCCAGGCAGGCGACGCTGAAGAGGCCTTAAGGTGTCTTGTGCAATGCCTCAAAGATCTTGACGTGCCGTTTGACGAGCATCCGACCTGGGAGAAGTGCGATGCCGAGTTTGAGAGGGTAATTGTCGAGATCCGGTCTCTGGAGCGAAACGAGATCGTCAACCCGCCCCACACGGACGATCCGAATTTGGCATCCATCGGAGCCGTGCTTGCAGATGCCATCAGCGCAGCCTGGTGGAGCGATTGTGTCATGTTCTTCCATCTCTCCCTCGTGATGGTGGACGTTCATTTGAGCCGTGGAGCGTTCCCAAGCAGCGGTATGGCATTCTTACATATTGCCATGGTTGCCCTCTCCAGGTTCAGCATGGCGGAACTGGCTATTGAGTTGGGCTCTATCTCGCTGGACCTCCTGGATAAGTACCGAGACGCCTTTTCTATGGCCCGAGGCTACATGTTGTATTCATTTCTCGTTGGTCATGCTCAGATGCCTTTAAGCGTCGCTGTGAGTCAGGTTGAGGCTGCTGTCGAATATGCTACCGTTGCAGGAGACCGCACGTCCACCATCCTCAGCTTCGGCATGCTCGGCCAGTTGAAATTCTTCGCCAGTGAGAATTGCGCGGACTTGGAAGCATTCTGCCAATATGGCTGCGAGGACGTCCCATATTGGCACCAGGATACGCGTGGTGGGACGCTTCTCATCGCACTTCGGCAGGTCTGCCGGGCTTTGCAGGGAAAGACGCGGGTTGCTATTGCGGAACAGGTAATGGATGACACCCAGAACAGTCACAACTCCGCTGCATACAAATCGTGGCTGGATGCGAATACGAAGAACGGCCAGCGCTCCGTCACCTGGTATGAGACGCTGGAGATGATCCCGCTCTTCCTCTTTGGGCACTACGATAGGGCAGTGCAAATGGGTAAACGCTGTGTTGCCAACGAACAACTCCTATGGTCCGGTGAGTTGTTGCCCCTGTTCTACTGTTGCGATACTGTTGCGATACTGCTGCTTTTGTTCCGGGAGATCTCCAGTATAGCAGTAGCTTTTTGAGCGTCAATAAGGGATTCTGACAAAGTCTTAGCACGCAATACTCGATCAGTCATGTTGTTCTATGGGCTGTCTCTTGCAGGTCTCATTTTCCATAGACTGGATGATCCTCGCAATCAGAAAAATGATATGGACGAGGAAATCAAGGCTACAGTCGAGACACTGGAGTTTCTACGAAGGAGAATTCTGGACTGGGAAACGGTGTCCAACATCAACTATCTGCCCTGGGACCATTTTCTGGAAGCGCAAATCCTCGAACTCAAGCATGACACCGGTCAGGCTGTTCGCGTGTATGAAGATGCACTAGACCACGCCTCTGAGCAGAGTCTGGCTTTCGAGGAGGCGGTTGGCAACTACCTCATGGCTGGGCTTTTCATAAGAAGAGGCGCTCGGAGGTCAGCCAAGTCTGCTCTTATGGAGGCCGTTGGCCTCTTCCGTGCCATGAGTGCCACAGGGCTAGCAGAGCGGATCGAGGAGGACCACCACCTTCTGCTTCATGGCCCCACCCGAAACCCGCGTACCGTCGACGCCATCGTACAAACTGATTTTGCGGGAGATCCGCTTACTGTACAATACCGTGCAGTTGATGGAGAGGCAGAGGTTCCGCCACAACCGGCTCTAGCGAGCATCTCTGAGCTTGAAGAGAGCCGGATAGGAGCCTGGAGAGGCTCGATGCATCCTCCCGAGGCCGGTGCTGGCCTGCCCTCCCTCGATATGATCGACCTCCACGCCATACTCGTGTCTTCGCAAGTCATTTCGTCCATTCTCGAGGTCCAAGAACTCCTCAAGACGATGTGTGATGTGATCTTGCAAACATGTGGAGGGACGGCGACGCTAGCGGCCATAATTGTTGACGATTCTGATCAGTGGTGTGTCGCGGCGAGCGGCGACCCAGAGAGAGGTGCACAAGCTCACAAGCCTGCGGTGCCGTTGAGTTCATCGCAGCACATGGTCCCAGAGAATGTTATCCTCTACTGTACCCGCTTCAGGGAGGCGGTGTGGAGTCCTGATATCAACAGCGACGAGCGGTTCGGAGTCAGCGAGCAATGGCTCCAGAAGAACCCCACGGGTCGTGCTATAATCGCGTATCCCATCAGCCACGGCACAGGTCCACTGCTTGGTTGTCTCTATCTTGAAGGGAGCCCAGGTTCATTCACCGACCGCAACGTCACCGTCACGCAGCTCCTCGTCAACCAGATCGGCATCAGCTATTCAAACGCCCTGTCTCTGAAGGCGATCGAGAAAGTATCGAGCGAGAACGCCAGCATGATCGAAGCCCAAAAGCGCGCCTTGTTGCAGGCTCAGGAGGCCGAAACCAAAGCCAAGGCTGCAGAAGCCCAGGCGAGGCGCAACGAGAAGCGTGCGGAGGAGGCTGCCAAGGCGAAGAGTATCTTCTTGGCAAATGTGTCGCATGAGCTTCGCACACCTCTGAACGGCGTCATTGGCAATTCAGAACTACTGAAGGACTCGAACCTCTCGAAAGAGCAACTCGAGATGGCTGACTCGATCCGGGTCTCTGCCGATCTACTGCTCACTGTCATCAACGACATCTTGGACTTCTCCAAGATGGAGGCGGACAAGATGAAGCTCTACATCACTGCTTTCAATCCGGAAGAGATGGTGCGGGAGGTTGTTCGCGCCCAATCGTACAGCAATCGAGAGAAGACAAAGCGGCAGAACGTTTCTATTGTTCGCGACATCAACCTACCGCCCATGCTCATATACGGAGATCCAATTCGTTTGCACCAGGTCCTCGGCAATCTGATATCGAACAGTCTGAAATTTACCGAGGACGGTTCGGTCACGATTGGAGCTCGTCTCGAGTCAGAGACAAGTGAGAGAGCCACCCTGACGTTCTGGGTGAAAGACACCGGCATCGGAATCTCGCCAGAACAGAAGGCAAAGCTCTTCCAGCCCTTCAGCCAAGCCGATACGTCTACCGCGCGCAAATACGGCGGGAGTGGGCTGGGCTTGTCCATCTGTAAGTCGCTGATTGAGACGATGATGAAGGGTGAGATCGAGTTGGAGAGCGAGCAGAACGTCGGAACCACGGCTTGGTTTACCGTCACATTTGACAAAGCCAAGCCTAATGTCGCGGCTGGTGACCCTCGCGGCCTGCCCGACAGCTTCTCTCAGAGGTCTTCTGACAACGTGAACCGGGAGGCCTCTCCCAACCCATACCTCGATCTCTCTGTGATTCCGAAAGACGAACTGCGAGTGTGTATCGCAGAGGACAATGCCATCAACCAGAAGATCGCGATTCAGTATGTTCAGAGACTCGGCTACACCAAAGTCGACGCTTACGACAACGGGCTGAAAGCTGTCGAGGGCCTGCGCCAAAAGGCTAAGGAGGGTCAGCCGTACCATATCATCCTGATGGACGTGCAGATGCCGGTGATGGACGGATACAATGCCACACGGTTACTACGAAAGGACCCGATCGAGGCGGTACGCAAAATCTTGGTCATCGCCATGACCGCGAGCGCCATTCAAGGAGACCGTGAGAAGTGCTTGGCGGCTGGCATGAATGATGTATGTGCTTTTCTGGTTTTGTCACTCCTTTTCTGCACTGTGTCCTATGCTCCTTGCCCTCACTCTGTGCACCAAGGCCTGCCTTCAGAAATCGAAAGCTAACTTTCAAACGCTATAGTATCTAGCGAAGCCGGTGCGCTCGGACGTGCTCAAGAGGAAGTTGGAGACCTATATCAATCCAGGGGAAAGGAAGCTTAGCGAAGCATCGATAATCAGTCCAGGCGGCTCTCCTTCTAGCGCAAGCCCGCCTACATCATCACGCCCCACGAGCACGACCACTGAAACGAACGGCAGTGCACTCAGCATAGCTAGCCCTCCTATCAAAGGCAATCGACCAGACAGCAACCCCCCGGAAGGCAATGGTGGAAGCCCTGTTCCACCCACAAGGAGTTCGAGCGACAACAGGATGTCGGACGCCGGCTCCGTGGACACCAGCAGCATCACTGGCGGCGGCGGCGCTGGCGGAAAGATCCGGAATAAGCTGACTAAAAATCGCGGCAGCAATGACACGCTCGATGTCGGAAAAGAGAAGGAGAAGGACAAGGACAAGGGCAAATCAGTGCTCAAGAAGAAGAATCCGCTGCAGAGGAGAGGTAGTAGCGAGAATACCCCGGACGAGCAGCAGTGAACGCCTGAAGATACGACTCAGTATCCGATTGCCGGTGAGCAAGGCGCAGAGGAAGTAGAGGAAGTAGAGGAAGACGAAACGTCGTCACGGAATCGTCTTTATTTGTACATGAACAGAAAATAGGGCTTTGGGTCAAGGTGTTCGCGAGAAGGCCTTCGGTCTCGGTGTTCTTTTCTTTGCATATTCTTTGGATGGCCCTTTGCTGGTTGTCAAGTACCCAACGCCATCCGCAAAACGCACATCCATCTTTGATTTCTTTTCTATCTTTCCCTTTTCTTCTTCTTCTTCTTCTTCCTCTTTTCCTTATTTTTTTTGTTCTTCATATCAACAGAGCGGTTCAGAAAACAAGCGGACAGGCCACAGAGGATACTTCTTTTCCCTTCTTCACTTTCGTGGTCCATGCGATGGGGGCGCGTTACGGTGGGCTTAAATCACGTGTTGAATGACCACCGCTTTTGCATTGTTCTTTTCATGACAGCATCATACCGCGGAGGCGTCGGGCTCGTTTGATGATCACTTGCAGGTTTAGGGTAGATGGTCTACATCTGTAGGTGGCCTTTAGTAGCCACCAACCATTCGAACAAGATATTCGGCTGAAGCGATATGAATGAGATGCAGCTGAATTGTGCGTACCCTTGCTTGTCATGTGGTGTGTGCCTCCTCCCTTTTGCCAACCAAAGGCTGTGAGTCGGGATTCCGCCTCGAATCTGCCCCCATGATGTGGGTGACCTTCCTTATTCCCAACGCAATTCCAAATTCAGAAATGAGGACAGTCCTACAAGTTGGCTCTTTGGGCGTATGCAATGCGCCAATACATAGAGCCTGTATAGCGTTGCGACCTGCAATTGACATGGTCTTTTTGAGACACGGGCTTCTGTCTTCTTATCTTCAGCGTTAGGCACTAGGGCCACACAGCACATGCTCACGTACTATCGGTAAATCACAGGTACCATGTACACACTCTAGCAGTGCTGTACAACGTCACTGGGATGAGGTGGTCTGTGCGTCGAAGCATGCTACTCTGTACCGCAGCTGTATCTTGTATCTGCTATGACTTAGTAGGACAAGGGGGTGAAGCGGTAGGCGGTAGGCAGTAGGCACTGTGGGGTGCATGGACAATCACCCTGAACCATCTCAACTTTCGACGACCTGGCTTCTGCGTCTTGCTTCAGGATTCTGGCTGGCGACTCCTCCTCCCTCGGAGCCTCGTGTAAACCTGACCATACTCGTGCATATACACTCCGTAGATGCATCGACGAGCTAATACCCAATGACTACCTAAATCGGAAGACGAGACCTCCCCGAGATAGCTTCGACGGCGACCCCTCCATTCCGAGATGGACTTTGGACTTCCAGATGGCGGGGCTGCGAGTCCTTTTGATGACAGCGGCGGTGACGGTAGCGACAAGAAGCCCAAGGCCCTTCCGGCCGACCTGCCGACGTCGCTTGATGACAGGCGCATGCCGAGGGATCCTGTGCCTGAGACGGAGATGTACGATGGGTGGCAAGGTCGGTCAAACCCTCCCTTGCGGCCCCTTTCTTCCCGAGTCGACGACGCCAGGGAGACTCAGCTGCTCACATACATAATCGTTGTTGTATAGGACAATCACAGTTCTTGACCTCGCCCGTGGTAGCCAAACCCCTCAAGTTCAGCGACCTCTCCCTCAACGACAACTACGACGAGGACCTCACGCGAGGCATGCCCGACAGTGACACACGCCTCATGGAGATGCTAGCGGCGCAGGCGGCCCACTCGTCTGCCTCGGGACTTGAGGATGACGAGGCGATCGCGGCGAACGAGAAGCTCTCCGACGATGAGAAGAAAGAGATGCTGCAGAAGGTGTTGAACATTGCTGCTAGCAATGGCAATGTGGACCAGGTCAACAACATCCTGTCGGGCAAGGCTAAGAAATACGTGGATGTAAATGCGCCGGATGAGGATGGAACACCACCGCTTATATACGCCAGCTGCTTCGTGCGTCAACCCAGCCAGTCTTGGAGAGAGAAGAAGAGCCTCCTGGGTGGAAGTCAACCATAGCTAACATGGTGCTAGGGTCACGAGGCCGTGGTGGAAGCGCTGATCAAGGCAGGTGCCGACGTTGACAAACAGGACCGGAACCGTTGGAGTGCTCTGATGTGGGCCATGACGAACCGACACAAGCAGATCGCAAAGCTGCTGCTCGACCACGGTGCATCTCAGGATGCCAAGACGTCGTCCGGCCGAACTGCCGCTGACTTCCTTGCCCCTGACAGCGACATGTCCTTTTACCTACACAGCAACGGTTATAACATCGGCAATGCCGGAGTGGGCGATGATGACTTCTACCGGCCTGGTTTCTCGAACGACAAGTTCGAGGAGGAGCTGATGGAGAACGAGCTGAGGAGACGTATGATGATGGAGAGCGCGAGAGATCTCGAGGTGGATCTGGGCAATGTTGGCATAGATGACCAGCCTGAGGTCTGTGTGCCCTCTTGTCACCTTTCCATTTCCATTGCCGTTGTCTTTTTTTCTTTTTTTTTCTATCGCTGACCTTGACCAGCCCGTGGATGAATACGAAGAAGAAGAACAGCAAGAATTCGACTGGATGAGGTGTCTGCACGACCAAATGTTTGTCTTCCAGGAGAGCGATCTCGACCGAATCTTGGACATCATCATCACCAACATGACGCCCCAGCGATCGGCAAGTCAGAAGCCTGTCCCGGCGAACATGATCTTCCTAAGCGCAAGATATGCACATTACCACGCAAGCCCTGACCTCCTAGCCAAACTACTCACTATGGCAATGGACAAGATAAACGATGTGGTCGAGTACCACCAATGGGATATGACCATACTGGCGTTCTGGGCCTCCAACGCGACCCTCCTGCTTCACTACCTGAAGAAGGATGCCGGGCTTGTGGAGGCGACGGTCCACTTCCAGGCTCAACTGGCTGAACTGATCAACGAGATTTTTATCCTCATTGTACGAGACGCGGAGCGGCGGCTGGACAAGGTTTTGGACTCAGCCATGCTGGACCACGAGACCATACCGGGATTTGAGGACATCACGTTCCAGAATGAGTGGAAGATTTTCAAGACCAAGAAGAAGGTCAAGGAAGAACCCCCGGAGAGGCGATATCGGCCACCATCACCCAAGCAGAGGGCGAAACCTGCGCCGCGGAATGTCACCTCACTCCTCTCATCCACACTCTTTGTTCTTGATTTATACGACGTGCACTCTGTAATCACAGCACAGATTGTTGCACAACTGCTCTACTGGCTCGGAGCCGAGCTATTCAACCGCATCATGTCCAACAGGAAATACCTGGCCCGGACGAAAGCCATGCAGATACGCATGAACATCTCTGTCCTCGAAGACTGGGCCCGGACAAACAACAGACAGCCTGAGCATTATGAGCACGGCGAGATGCAGGCGCACGGCGAGAACACCATCGAGGCTGCCAGGAGGCACCTATCGCCTGTCATTCAGCTCCTCCAATGGCTACAGTGTTTCTCGTCACTGGGCGCCGACGACCTGGAGGCGTTGGTTGACACGCTGCAGCAGCTGAAGACCCTCACCCCACAACAAATGATTCATGCCGCGAATCACTACCGCGCCGAGGTCGGGGAGAAAGGTCTCCCCAAGAGCGCGATGAAGTACCTGGAGGCCATACAGAAGGAGACAGAGGCAAGAAGAGAAAAGGAAAAGAATAATCGGAGGAGTTTGGCTGCGTCCATCTCGTCACCGCCTCGCAACACCGCTGTGCCTACCGACAGTGCACCTTCGACACCCCAGCGGAGCGACAAGAAGTCCTCCAATGGCAGCAGCGGTCCGCCGCAAACCCCGATTGAGGAGGAGGAAGAGGATGCACCCGAGAACCTGCTCATGGATCCGGCGCTGATGCTTCCGTTCATCCTGCCGTCCGTCACCGACATGCTCGTGAGCTTCGGGGCAGGTTTTGGTGGCGTGAACCGCGAGCGCGCGAGGAAGTACATTCCCACGGTGCCACCCGAATTCCTGGCGAAGTTGGAGGTGAACAACGGGTCGAACAACAGGAGGCCGCTTTTTGGCGAAAAGGACTGGGAGAATGAAGAGGTCTAGTGGAGCCATCTGCGGTCCGGTTCGAGGAAGCTCTGTTGAGAGAGGTCATCCCATTCCTAGGCATTTTAGACAAAGGCAGCGGCGGTTGCATATTTCATGGGTGGAAAGCGTATGTCCAAATGAAGTTGATTTATTCCTACTCTACAGTAAACTTACACCTCTTACTCTTTTCGCAAGAATGTTGTGTGAACTTTTACAGAGCGAAAACGATCATGAGGGTTAGATCTGCCTTGCGGCGTATTCGACATATCTAGAGGGAAAAGGCCGGAGGGGGGGGGAGGGGGGAACGGTCGTTGCCGGGGATAGCAACTCAGCAAAATACCATGGTTTAGGGATGTCTTCTGTATACCCCTCGAGATGACGATATTGAATTTACGGTTGAGGGGTGAACCTTGGATGGGGAGCTCCAGATTAGTAGCTTTGAAGACAGACCATAATGACCCGCAGTGGGAACAGAAATTGAACCAGAGAGAGACAGGAAGAAAGAAATAGAATAGGTCTACCAGTGATCTCCCCCTATCTTGTCTGTTTGTTATTCTTGCGAGGGGATTTCCATGGCTTCCATAGCACACAAGCAAGTCGCAATATCTCACGCCAGTTGCTTTGCATAAACTCCGAGAGTGATATGAATAAACGGTTCAGCTATAGCCTACTCTGTAAAAGTACATACCGAACTACCCGCTGCTCGACTTTCCTACAGAAACAGAGTGTTCACCACCGCTGGCAGCAGTTTGCAGGTCAGCATACCCGAGCGTTCGGCGCCCGCGCCAATGGAAAAAAGGAAAGATGGCGTGAGTAGGCTCCCCTCCCTCCCCCCCCCTCCTCGGCACAAGACATACATGACGAGAGATGAGGAAGAATGCGAAAGCGAATATAGTTCGTCCCGACCGATCTCTTTACCTTACCAAGTAGAATAGAGATCCAAGAAGAAAGAGAAAGGAAGACACCTCACCCACTCCGAGAAATACTACATTGTATAGCAACCAAAAAAAGCTGTCGTCACTGAACATATAAAAAATAAAAATAAAAAATTGGCCGGGAGACAAGGTCGACGGGAGCAGGGTGTCCGAGGGCGGGCCGGAGCGGTAGGTTACAGGATGGGAAATTTTGTTCTTGGGAAGTTTGCACAAGTCTTTACGACGAATTCTAAAGGAGTTCTATCTAAGTTGTGCCCCCTTTTCCCTCCCTCTTTCCTTCATCCTTGGCGCTGGCGTGTGAAATGCTTTGTAGATCGAGCAGGCTTGAGCCCCCCGTTCCTGATACCTAGACCGCTTTTGCTGTGCTGTGCTGCTGTGGTGCTCGTTCAAAGTGAAAGAAAAAGCAAAGGTTTCCTTGACACTGGTACATCTCTGTGGTTGGACAAGAGCGTGGCTGAGCCCTCAGAACCTCGGTGCGACACGGTTGCCGGCTGTGGGCCCGCTGGCTCTCTGGTTGGGAATACCACCTGCTCAAGTAGGCAGTTAGCTGTGTCACCAATCAGGCGGTGACGGTTGCTTGTGTGTCTATACCGCCTCCTGTCCCTCACATGTGCCATGAGAGCTAGTTTGGGCTCCGTATCAGCTGGCTGGCTGGCTAAGTAGTCGGGCCACGAGAGAACGGAACGGAGGCGTCAAGAGCTGCGAGCCCGTGGTGGACAGGGAACTAGCCTCGCGAGGCTTTGGAGTAGGTGTGGGCCAAACATCAGCTTGGAATGTGTCAGAGATCTTGAATTAATTTTTTTTAACCCTTTCTTTTTTTTCCCTTCTCCCCAAGGATGGTCATTTTTGGGGTCTCCACCACGGCAGGAAGGGCAAGGAAAGAAGAGGAAAGAAGAGGAAAAGGAAAAAAAAACTAAAGACCGATTTTCTTGATCGAGAGAGCGGGCAATCGGATTTTCGGTGGTTGCTACAGCGTCTGGACAGTGGGCTCTCGAGAGACTAAGCGTAGGTTGAGATGGCCCTGTGGCTTCTGGTCGACTCACAATGGTTTTCACGATGACGCGGTCCCCATACGGACGTATGGATTTCAAAGCCACGACAGTTGGTGGATAATCGTGTGTTTCGGAGGTCGTGGCGTTCATCCACTTCGTCTGCGCTACACATAGGCTATGCTTGTGATACCTCTTTTCCTCTCCCCCCCCCCCCCCCCTTTCTGTCTTCCTTCTTCCGTGTCCAATAGCTGGGGTCCGACACTTGCAAGAGAGTAAAGTATCGTCGTCTGCCACGGAGCTGGAATAGATCGGCTGCACAGGCTTTGTGTGAAAACCCTTTAGCAGACTGGTGCTACATGGAGAACTCAAAGTGGGGCGAGAACCCTTGAAAGATCGATCCCCCAGGGAGAGGATCCCTGTTGACAGGTTGAAAGTTGAGATCTTGTTACGTTCTTACCATACAGCCATAGTATCCCGAAGCGGTGCGCGGAGGATCATCCTGGCTAGATTGGGTACAGGTCCGGTCCAAAATCCCCCCACTAGATTAGAGGGCACCCGGCACTACCGCAAATCACCACAGCATAGTATATACCGGTAGTATGTTGTACATGACACGTGCGTAGTGATGGGGCCCTGCGCATTGCCAAAGACCATCGCGAATCATTTGACCCTCCAATCAGGATGGGCGAACAACCTATTCGGGGCTGCATGCTCCGTTTTAGTGTACATGCAGACAGGTCACGCACCGGCAATCCTGGGCCAGGATAAAAGGTCCGGTCGTGACCACACTGGGTCGTCAGCCCCGCTGCCTGTCTGTATGTCCTTCCTGTCGAGGTTGATATCGAGTGTGTGTGTCTTTCGCCTCCGGAGGAAGGGAGGAAGGGAGATATGGGGGGGGGGAGGGAGGAAGGGGGAAGAAGATCTGTTGGACGATCGCAGCTAATTCATCCACGGAGGGCGCGATCAGTCTGGGTTTGCGCAGGGCAATGGGGCTTCTTCAGACAGAAGATCCAAGGGAGAGGAAAGCGACAACACCACCCGAATTTGTTTTTTTAATGCCTTGTATGGTCCCATCAATTAGCACATCCAAAGACATCCAAGGTCGTCAGCGCATGGAGGGGATACGTCAGACCCTGAAAGAAAAGTCCTTCAGCAGCAGCAGCAGCAGCACCAAAAGATGTGTGGGATGTGTCGAGGATTCCCGGCTGGCAGTATGATGCGTTGCTCTTCCATCCCTTGACTTCCAGCACGTCTTTTTCTCGCTGTCTCATCAGGACACCTTGTGTGCTGGACCAGTGGTTTTTCAGGGTGGCACAAACACCCCCCAAGTGAGACTGTGTCTTGGTGTTTGCTGAGTAGCTGGTAAGCTGGTGAGAGGTGAGGCAGAGATGAGTCGTCAACGGTCTCCGTGTATCTCTTGTCTCTCTCTTTTCATGCGGCCTGCCTGTGTAGTGGAAACATTTTAGGCGAGAATATTGTACGTCCCTGTTCAGGGTAGTAGTGACCTTTCGACATCGTGTCATCTGCTTGCGCGTTCCGAGAAGTGCGCACTTTAGTGTGACAATTCACAGGAGGGCAAAAGGGAAAGGAAAAACTTGCAGATCGTGTACTGTAAGATGCTGGTGGATGCTAGAACAGCTGGGTTTGAAGGGACGGATCAAACTTGCCCACGCCAAAAGGTGGCGGGTCCCTTCCCACTCGAAGAGACAGTTTTTACCCATAATGGCGGGGCAAGTACAGGGCTTCTGGGTGGGGAGCGAAAAACGGGCTGACGGGAAGGGAGCGAGAATGAGGAAGGAGGGAGGGTTGCGTTTAAGAGTGACAAGGTTGACGATACAAGATGCGTAGGAACTAAATGTCTCCCCTTATCATATCTTGGCTTGCGTGCCTACCTTTTTCGTACCAGCCCCTGCTGGCCACAAAGCGGGTACGTACCAAGATGTATACTAGGTACTTACTATGGCTTGCGTAGGCGAGTTGTACTAAAACTGTAGCATCTACAGTAGCATCCTTACCTTTACTGGGGGGGAGTACGTACCCTGTTGTAGTACCCAGCCTATCAAAGCATGTACCTACCACCTGCACATACAGTATGTAGTCACCTTTTTGTCGTTCAGTCATTGGCGATTCTTGTGATGGTCGCCGAATGGTGGTCTCTGGATCCAGTGTTAGAGAGGGGGGAGGGCAAGTCCCGAGGAAGCCAAGGTGAGGAAGGGGAAAGGTTTCCAATATCAGGACCACAGTCCCCGGAAAGACATGGCCGAGAGGGAGAGGCAAAGAGCCGTTTGTCTGTTTTTTCTTGTCTCCTGATTTCTATCCTGTTTCTGCTATTGTCGTGGCTCCTAGATCCTGTTTATCCTTTTTCCTCCCCCCCCCCAACCAAGAGGTTTCCTATTTGTCTCATACGCCTGAAGAAAAGACCGAGCTGGACTGCGTCACTTTCTTGAAGAAACTGGCGAGGGAAAAAAGGATACGAAACGAAACGAAACGAGATGAAAAGAACAAAATAGCACGAATCAGGACAAAAGGATCCGACGAAGGAAGAGGAAGAAAACGAAAGAAAAAAATTCTTGTATCATCCAAGTCCTCACACTAGGCTTCACCTGATATCCACCTGGTGGTTTCTACAAGCCTACTTAGTACTTTACTTACTACTCGCCCTAACCTGCTCTACTTCCTCTCTCCCACCTCTACCCTTGTTTTGTTCTTCTTTGGTGTTTTTTTTTCTTCTTCTTTTCTTTTCTTCTTGCTCCAATTCTTCTTCTCTTGATCTTTCTTCTTACTTTTGTTATTACTACTCACACGAACCCATCTGTTGTGTCCTTCCACCCCGCCCCCTCCCTTGCCTCACCGGGGTAAACACGCCTCGTCCCCCCTCAGGAAGAATTCCAGATGGCGCCGTCGCGGTTTGCTAGCCTACGGGGCAGGTCCACCCCGTCGTCCAGCCCGTCCAACCCTGGAATTGGACGGCTGCGCCCACGGCCACTGCAACACGGCCCACGGCACATTCCTTCTCACTCTGCCGACGACTCTGCCCTGCAACTCGTCGCGCTTCGCTACGAGCAGACAGTACAGGCAGAGCCTCCCATTCCCATCCCTCCCCCTCGCAATCCTCTTCGCGTCAGCCGTCCGACCACAGCCGCCAGCTCCTCATCTGCTGCCGTCCCGTCGAGAAGCACCTCGACTGCGTCCACAGTAGCATCCAGGACGACGAGACCACACATCACCACCGCCTTACCACTGCCCCCACCGCCACCACCACCATCACAGCCACTGCCGCCCCTCCCTTCCTCAGCAGTAGCAAACGAAAAACATCATCCTGTCTCTCATCCCCCTCAGCGACAGAGCCACCAGTCCCACCAGAGCCATCACAGCCAGGAGAGCCAGGGCCACAGTAGCAGCCACAGCACCAAACACTCGCCCTCCTCATCGACCACCTACACAGACTGGAGGCGCGACTCGGCCCTGGGCAGCTGCACCCTGTCGTCTGCATCCACCACCCTGCCAGAGGACGCCTCCGACGCCCAGGGCTACGCCTGCGCAAAGCTCGGCCCAGGAGAGGAAGACGAAGAAGGCCCTCCGTCCTCCATCTACTCCATTGACTACGACGATCGCCTCACCAACCTGCCGTCCCTGCTGACCACGCGCGTCCGCAGCCGGTCTGTCCAGGACCAACACATCCCACACTACTCGTGCCAGAGCCGCTGGTCCCTGACCGAGTCTGACGTTTCCGACAGCGAGTCCTTCAAGCAGAGGAACGCCACCAAGAGGCTCATCAGAGGTCTCAGCGTGAGACTGGCACCGCCCATGAGGCGTCTGAAGAAACTGAACCCAGGTGATGCTACTGCTGCTGCTGCTGCTTCTACTGCTTCTTCTACTGCTGCTGTTGTAGCCACCGCGGCCATCCTGCCGGCCACCGACCCTCCTCCGCATCCTCCACACGCCCCCCAAGTCCAGGTCCAGATCCAGGTCCAGGTCCAGGCCCAGGCCCAGGGCCCGTCCGATTCCCAGTCCCGCCAGTCCCACCACCACCGTTCAGGGTCGACGGATACCCCACCGCGCCAGCTACCCTTCTCGCCTAATATGCCCGACCCTGCCAGCCGCGAGATTGGTCACAATGACAGCCAATCTCCGCTGTCGAGTAACCCTGGACCCCTTTCTGGGGACCAGCCCGACAGGGCCTCTTCTTTGTTCGACGACCTCGCGCCAACCATCGACACGAGCATCCCCCTGGGGAGTCTCCTTGACGACGACGACCTCGACAGCCTCAACTTCTCTAGGAGGGGCAGTGTTTACTTTGGAGGCAAGCGCGCTATTGGCGCATCTAGCCCGACGCCGCTGATTCCCCCTGCCGCCGCCGCCGCCGTCTCCGTCCCTGTCGCCACAGTCATGAGCAAATTCCTGTCGCCGCGCGCCGCCCCAGCCGCCCCCGTGTCGCCGCCTCACGATGGCCCGGCCGAGCTCAAGCCTGCTGAGAAACCCGAGGGGAGGACCGGCTGGAGGCGCCACACCAAGAAGTCATCGCTGCCAGACATCCGTGTGATGTCGGAAGATACAGAGAGGGAATCACAAAAGGTGAGATCGCTCTACGAATCCGGCGAATTGATTCATTGGGAAGATGGGTCCCCGGGCCGCCAGTCTGGTGAGCGCCTGGCGCCTCCCGAGGAGGTTCCATCCGATGGGGACGACAACATCGCGTATGGTTTTCCTTTGAGTAATTTTCCGTTTGGCATGAATGTTTTTCAAACAAAAAGAAAACAACCTGGCTAACACGTATACCTTTACTCCTTTTCTTCTCCCCCTTTACAGAAGCAGAACGACAAGAGAAAACCGGAAAAGCGTCCGGGCTATGTACCTCTCACCCAGTTCCCCGCTTTCGGTAACTTCGCTGCCATCGCCACGAGGTAGCGCGCATCGCCACGAGTTCGAGCTTGCCGGCGGTATCGAGGACTGGGAGGACGTTAGGGGCGCAGATGTCGATCGCTACGGCTTCATCCAGCCGGGGAGCAGGCGGCCTATATCCAGGGCGAGCGTGCCTGCAGAGACCCGCTCCCTGCATACATCCTATGGGAGGCGCAACGGGCGCAACGTCTTGACTAAGAAACCTAGGGGGCCTCCGTTGTCACAAGGGCTGTCCAGGATACCGAGCAGGAAGCTGTCGGCACGGTCGCTGAACACTCAGACATCGGAGATGTCGACCCGCTCCAGGCTGTCTGTCAGGTCGGGCATCAGGAGTGCGGCCAACATGCTGCCACACAACCGAGACAGGAAGATCATTGACGCTGCGGCCGACATGTTATCGCTGCCGCCAGCTCTGGCTGAAGCTGACGACGAGCAAAAGAGTGCCCAGGCCATCAAGGCGGCGCAGGACAGGGAGGCCAGGAGGACCGAAAAATGGAGAAACATGGCCAAGATGGTCACCCGAGGAATTGACAACAATGGCGACAAATTCGCTACCAGTGACATTGAGAAGGTCTACAAGAGGGCCAAGAAGGGCGCCACCGGTGACCACATCCGGCTGGAGATCGAGGGCGTCCAGGTCGAGTTCGACACCAGAAGCCCGAAGCTCATCGAGAGGACATGGAAGGGCATCCCCGACCGCTGGCGCTCCTCGGCCTGGTACTCATTCCTGGCGTCGAGTGCACGGGATGCCAAGTCTGAGGTGACAGACCAGGAGCTCATCGCCCAGTTCCACAGCCTGCAGGAGGTCAGCTCCTCCGACGATGTGCAGATCGACCTGGACGTGCCCAGGACCATCAATAGGCACATCATGTTCCGAAAGAGATACCGAGGCGGCCAGAGGCTGCTGTTCCGTGTCCTCCACGCACTGTCCCTGTATTTTCCAGACACAGGGTACGTGCAGGGCATGGCAGCGCTGGCGGCCTCTCTGCTGTGCTACTACGACGAGGAGCGGTGCTTTGTGATGCTGGTCTGGCTGTGGCAGTTCCGGGGCCTGAAACGACTTTACCAGCATGGCTTTGGTGGGCTTATGATCGCACTGCAAGATCTCGAGAAATATTGGCTCAAGGGCAAGCCAATCTCCCAGAAGCTCGTAAGGTTTTTTTTTTTTTTTTTTTTTTTTTTTCTCTTCCCTTTGCTTTCCAGCCCAGAGATATCACTTCGAGTCAATAGTCGCTAATGAGTCGCCTAGAATGATCTTGGGATCGACCCCACGGCCTACGGTACGCGTTGGTACCTCACGCTCTTCAACCTGTCGATACCCTTTCCTGTCCAGCTGCGTGTCTGGGACGTGTTCATCCTGCTTGGCGGTTGTCCGCCAACACTCGAGCCGAGCAGCGGAAAGGCGAAGCAGAAGGAGCAGGCCAATGAGCCTGAGAGCGACATGATCTTTGACGGACTCGACATCATCCACGCGACCGCCGCAGCACTGATTGATATACACAGAGATGTGATCATCGACGGCGATTTTGAGAACGTCATGAAAGGCCTCACATCTTTCCAGGAAGTCAAGGACGAAGACAAGTTCATCAACCTCGTCAGGGCGGAGTGGAACACACATCGAGGGAAGAAGAAGGGGTAGGACCTCTCCGCCATCCCCGAAGTCGACTCTACGGATGACGAGGATGACGACACGAGTCCAAACTTACTTGGTTATCACATCAAGTCGTACTTGCAGATACCGGATCTGTTTGCGTCCTGGGGGAGCAAGGAAACACAGAGCTCAGCCGGACGAAGTTAGGGATCGCAGGCCTCCTCCCATGTGCTCTCATGCTGGCCGTCACTACACCATCACCCCGATTCTTCTACAACAACAACTACCACTAGGCCTTCGGGCGGACCACGACTACCATCACCGTTATTGTCGATATTCTTTTGTCATCAGCCACTTTGTTTCTGATTTCAAGGGGAAAAAAGAAACAAGTATAGGATAGGCTATGCGGGCTGCTTTTCTTGACGACCCACCATATACCCCCACCCCGCGCCTCTTTTTTTATTTATATTTTGTTGATATCACCATACCCCAGTTTCAAGACCTTATGGAGCCAAATTGGTCAAGGCCCACACTTTCGTATTTGTTGTATTGTCTGGAAGGACAGGACAGGCAGGCTGGGTAGGAATGGTTTAGTAAGATAATCAAATTGTGCTCAAGATGCACAACGGAAAGGGAAAAATGAAACTGTTTCACCTTCACAATGCACCCACCGTACTTCATTGCTATGCATCCGCTACGAGTGAGTGGCTCAGATGTGTCCTTGCCTCTCTATGTGGGAGGGTTGGCGACAGACAAGTCACGTATCTTAGACGTAGCGAGCACGTTGGATTGGTCGGGAATGAACCATGTCATAACATAAGCTGGCTGACAAGAGACGTGTGGTGGAGGTACCCTACCAAACCTTGTCATAGTGTCAAGGACTTTCCACAACAACATATTGGGAGCGGAGGAATAGCTCTACATACAGGGGAGGAGGGGGCTCTTCATCTTTTGTTCGGATGAGGCGTCTTTTGGGGGAGAAGATATCATCGTTATGTTGGCCTGGAACGAAAAGAAAGGGGGCCGGGTACAGATACGACGAACTAGATAACAACAATAACAAACGGTGAGACACTTCTTCAGGTTTGATGGGGGGAAAATGTGCTATGCACAACAATCCCCATTCAAGCACACGATTTACATCTTTGTACTATACTTGTGGAAGGCCCAGACAAAGACCACCACAACAAATAAATAAAAATAAAGTAAGTCGCCACGAGCAAGGAATCCTTTATTAGGCCAAAGGAGGAGGGAAAAAAAGAAGAGGGAAAAAAAGGGTGTTCCCCCATTCCGGCATTGCGAATTTCTTGCGTTTACCCAAAGCGGACGCAGTAAAGGTCGTGAACCAATGAGAGGTCGGTTCCGCTTTTCTGTCTCGGAACGGCCCGTGCCTTGGCGTTTTCTTATTGTCTTTTTTTTCCCCCTCTTCTTGTTCTTTTCCCTTTGTTCTCTTCTTTCTTCTTCTTGCGTTCTATGATTGTTTTCTTTGTTTAGGGACAGTCTCGATGTTTCGACTGTGATGTGATCTCTCTTGAAAATGGACGAAATATGAGCTGTCGAAGAGAAAAAAGGGGAGGGGAAGGTTGTCCTTGTCTGGGTGTGGGGTTTTACAAGTATACACATGTGCGCGGGCAGGGAGACAAAAGATGCAGATGTATGTATATATATACATACATATACATAAAGCATGCATGGTAAATGTAGAGAAAAGAGGGAGGGGCTGGTGAAGGTGGCGATGCTATCTTTACAAGTGTTGTAGTATGAAAGATGCTGGAGCCCCCCTGAAGTGCACACAAGGTTGACATATCGATCTCTTTCTTTCTTCTGAACTCCATGGTGCTTTTTCTTCCTCATTATGATGCAAGATTTCTGGCCACTTGTCATGGGCGCGGTGGATAAAAAACCAAGGTAGTCGCTAAGGACCAAGTCTGTTGTTGGCTCTTCCCTTCACCAGAGAGTAAGCTTCAGAACACTGGTGCTGACCAGTTGTCAGGTGTCTCCCCCTCCACCAAAGACGGAAACTGCCTCCTTCACAGACAGACTTGGTGGGCTTTTCTTTTGCAGCAGCGAGCGAGATCTACATGCCGTTACCTCCCCCTCCCCTCCTCCAACACCAGGTCCAGGACAACCTCGGCGAGGCACGGACATGCTGGAAGAAGGTCTTTTTTCTTAAAGGAAAAAAAAAAAAGTTATATTCCGCCAGGGGTTGAGTTAGGTTTAACGGTGGCATTCTGCCGTGAGGGTAGTGGTGCTTCTACGTATCCTACCTGTCTGTCTGTCAATGAAAATCAGCTGAGCCGAAACGTGTTTGTTGGGCGATCCAGTTCGGGACATGTCCAGGTGAAGTACGTGGGGAACAGAAGAATTCCCATCCCAGCTTTCTTAGTGATCCAGAGACACCCGGAGAGGATGACGTACCAGAGGACATTTGGTGTTCGGCTCGGCTATCACATACTAATTTGTGCCCAGAATAAGAAGAAGGGGGGGAAGGGGTTTGACATGTAGCATACTTAGGCTTTGTTGCATTGTCTCAACAGTGACGGTGACAACCGTGGACTCGATCTTATACCGGCAAATGGGTACCTTCATGCTACTGACGGTCTTGTTATAAGAATAGATGGGTTAATGTCAATAAGAGAAGTTGAACATGCTCCTCCAGCACTGCAAAATTGGATATCAAGAATATATGGTTTTCTCTTCATGTTGCCTTCAATTTTCTTATATTGGCTCCCATTTCACTGAGGTACGATGCGTACGCCAGAAGCTGGAGAGATTCATTCTTGACCCGAAGGATGAAGAAAAGAAGAAGAAAAAGCCAAAGGCAGCAAAGATGCAATAACAAGCCGGGAAAAGGTTTTCTGAATGATGCAGGCCGCCCACCCCTCCCTTCCCATGCTGGCGCCGTATATCACTGAACTAGCCCTTGCCACTCCAGTGCTTGAGAACTTTGATAAATATGTTTTGTATGCTCCATTCTCTTTGTTTCCTCCCTTGCCCCCTCCCTCCCCCAATCCTCCTCTCTTAGTGGGTTATTTCCGGTTCCAGAACTTAATCCCCTCTCATCCTTTGGTCCGCCTTGGTCCGATTCCTTCGTGACGTCCCATCGGCATGCATATACAAATTTGAAACGAAAAAAAGCCGAGCCGAGAATTGGTACAGGGCAAAAGAAGTAAAAACCGATCAAAGTTCGCCGTGTTGAGAATAAAGTTATCGTCAAGTTTGGTGGTGTAGAAGCGAAGAGTTGAAGAAGAGGAAAAATTTCCGTGATCCCTATGGTCCGCCAACTGAGGCACGAAGTGAAGCCGCCCACCGAAAGTAAAAAGAAAAGAAGAAGAAAGTGTAGAGTAAGACCTGATCCCTATGATAGAACGCTCGAACAAGTGCGTTGACGAAATTGTGAAGACTTTCCAGAGCTGGAATTCCGAATGGTATGTCCTTTTCCTCTTCAAAAGGAAATGCAAGTGTCGGCTTGTTCCAGAGTATTTCCAGCTCGGTGGTGAAAGAACCCCTGATGAAGTTGGCTCGCAAAAACAAAAAACCCCTGACCATGGACGGGTCCCGGGGGGAAATTGGCTACAGTTTGGCTCCAGGGAAAAGAAAGAAAAAATGAAAATCCTTGCCAGCTGTGAATGCTCGGGTTACCGAGAATGGGTAGGAAAAGAAAGAGAGAAAGAAGAAGGCGAAGAAGAAGAAAAAGAAGAAGAAAAAGGGTTCGGCATCTTTTCTTGGCGTTGCGCAAGCTGTCTGTCATCCAGCTCCTCACAACGATCGGAATTTGCCTATCTTGTTGAATCGAAAAGGTGGAAGGTTTGGTTTGTCGTTGATCTTCAGTGCTTCTACTCATTCATCCCTTCGTTCCCGCGGAGCTGCTGGTCCTGCGCCTCCGACTCGCGATCGTTCTTCTGGTAAGTGTGGTGAGACTTGTTGGGAGTCTCCCCTGCCTGGCTGGCCTCTTGTGTCTGCTGCCTGAGCAGATGGGTAGTGGGCCGCATGCAGCGAAGGATCATCCGATGAAAGTAAGGAAGAAACCGAGTGCGCCACGTTGCGGGTCTGCGCCGTGGGTGGTTGGTGGGTGAATGAAGACGGCTCTGCCGGTGTTCCTGCTGTCTCTCGCCCCGCTGCGACAGTGCCCGAATTGGACAGAGGCGACATGCCACGGGAGGAACCAATGGTCTCAGCCCGGCCACGCCTGTACGTTGTCGATCCGTCGCTCGTCTGGCGCGAGTGTCCCCTTCTTCTTCCTGGCGGGGGGTTCGAGACCGTCGAGCTGGTGCTCTGGGAGAACGGTGGGGATCTGAAGCGTTGCTGCGTGCTCGGTGCTGGCGCAGCTTGTTGTGGCCCCGCCGCCTTGCGCTTCCGTGGTGATTCCCCTACTGCTTGTTGGAACAAAACCCACGTTAGCCCGCCGTCTTTCTGATTTCTTTCTTTATCCTCTTGCGCCTCTCGTATCCTCTCTCTCTCTCTCTCTCTCTCTCTCTCTCTCTCTCTCTCTTTTTTCTTTCTCTCTTTTCTTTTCTTTCTAAAAAAAAAAAAAAAAAAAAGTTCTCTTTTAAGAAGATCGAGTTTTGGGTTTAGACACACCAGATGGGGTTGATGGCTGGTTGGAGCCGGCCTGGCTGTTCTGGTTCGAGGGGGGTTGCCACATGTGGAAATAGATGGATGGCGACTGCTGGGACTCTTGCTGCTGCGCCGGACCAGCTCCTGGGTGCGACTGTGATGCCACCGTGCCGCCTGAGCTCGGGAGCACGCTGGTGTTCAAGCTAGCCAGGCCAGATCCTCCAGGCAAAGGACGGCTGCCCGACGCAGGTACGGTGTACCCACGGGTCCTAGGCGAAGCAGGATAGCCCCCCACAAAGCTGCCATGGACACCTTGCCCAGATCCAGGGGTCGAAGGGACTGCTCCGGAGCCTTGGTAGTGTCCATACGCCTGTGGGTGAGAATCGCGCCGGTGCCTTGGGGACGCGGGCCCGGGCAAGAGCTGTTGCTGGTGCACCTGTTGCGCAAACTGCTGCGCCCAGTCCAGAGCAGCAGGAGGGAGGGTGGCCCCACCCATACCGGCAAACACCACTGGTACCATGGGAGGAGGGATTCCGCCCTGCAAAGAGGCTCGCAGGATTTCGAACTCGGTCTTTCGCTGCTCGAGGCGGAAACGCTCTTGGTTGGTGCGCTCTTCTTCCTGTCTTCTCTTCTCCTCTTCAGCCTTCGCATGCAACCACGCTCTCATAGCATCTTCAGAGGACTGCCATCCAGGGGGCGGAGGCAGCTGGCCCAGGTGCTGCTGCTGCTGCTGCTGCTGCTGCTGTGCCTGTTGCTGCTGCTGTGCCTGGTGCTGCGCGTGTTGTTGCTGCTGCTGTTGCTGTTGCTGACCCTGGGAAGCTGACGAAGGAGGAGGAGGAGGAGGAGGAGGCGGCGGCGGTCCCTGCCCGACTGATGCTGGTCCACCAGAAGGAGGAGGAGGCTGTGAATGTGATCCAGGAGGCAGCGGCTGGCCAGAGCTCATGGCTGCCGGAGGTGGCAAGCCACGATAAGAGCCAGACATGAGTTGACTGGGCGGACTGCGACTTCGAGGGAACAAGGCGAGTGGTTTCTGAGACTCCTGGTACATCAGAGGGGGAGAGGGTCGAGAGGTATTTGGTGGCGTCGGAAGGTCATGGATCGACTTGTAGCCGTACTGAACTGGCTTGTTGATGGTGAGCATCCTCTCATCTACACATGGAAGGCCAAAAGATTTGGGGAAATCAAAGGGTATAGAGAAGAAGACGAAGAAATAAACAGAACACAAAAAGGTTGATCAGAACGAAGGCAGGAAGAAGAAAAAGTCTCTTGAGTGGTGATAAAAGGTTAAAAAAAAAAAAGAGAAAAGAGAAAAGGGGAAATAACTTGGGAGGGGAAAAAAAGAACTCCAAAGTAGTGTGTGTGAGAGCATGAGTTTGCTGTCAAGAAGAAAGCAGAAGTGAAAGCACCGAACCCCAGGGTGAGAGGAAAATGTGTTTGGGAAGGTAGTAAAGAGAAGAAGGTGGTGAAATTAACCTTTCTGCAAGGAAAAAAGCTGGTGGTGGCGGCCAGCTTGGTAAAAGAATGGTCAGGACGCAGGCGGGGCGCGCGTGTGTGTGTGTGTGAGAGAGTGAGTGCGTGTGTGTGATGAAACGTCGAAATGAGCCAACCCAACCTCATTTGGTCATAACAACGGGACGCAAATAATAGCTGCTCAGACCCTCTCTCCCCCAGGCAAGGGAAAATGCTCGACCGGTCGGGATGTACTGTGCGCGCGCGTGCGTGCGTGCGTGTGTGTGTGTGTATTGATTTGGCCCAGGGCTCGGTGTGGCCCAGACCCATTCGGGGTGGAGCAAACGGCCGACGGGCTCGAGTGTGAGTTTGAATTGAGTGAGTTTTTTTGCGTGCGAGCCAGCGATGAATGGACGGGGGCTTATCCTGGTACAGAGAGATCTGCTGCTGGGTTCGAGGCAGATTTGACGAGCTCCTCCACCCCCCACCCCCCTCTCCTCTAGGTGACAGGAAGCTGACAGGGAGGGTTGCTCGAGAGGGTAATAGAACGGATATTATTAGCGAAGGGTAAGGTAAGAAAAAAGCGGCGGGTGCGGAAAGATTGGCAGTAGATCCTGAACGAGAGAAAGAACGAAGGTACATTCGAACTAGGACGGCACGGCAGGTGGAGAGCAAAGGTGCCTTGGTTATTTCCTTTTGGAAGCCGCCCTGTATCAGATGAGATTTGATGCCAGCCAGGGTCGGAGCACAGAATCATACGCCTCGGATACAAACAAGGAAGAAAGGAAAAAACAAGAAAAAGGAAGAAAAAAAACGGGCGATATTAAGGCCTCAAGGGTTTCTTGGGGCTTGATTTCTCGAAGGAGAACGAGGACCAAAGCCACGACTCGCATCTACAGCACACCCACCCACCCACGCACACAAGGCATCGCAGCGCAGCCAAGCAAAACACAGCGAGAGAGATGGAGAAGACAACAAGAGCAGCAGTAACATACGTCCAGTAATAGGCAGGAAGAAAGACAGAGAGAGAAAGACGGAAGAGATCCTTAGCCCAGACGACTATGTATGTACTGTACAGCTACGGTTGTATAAGAGGAATGCAGCTTGCACAAGAGCCTTGACTCGATGGAGCAGGTCCCTCCCTCCCCAGACCCCCTCCCCCCTGCCATGAAATCTTGCTTCAAGGCAAGGGCTTGGGCACCAAGAGAAAGTTTGTGCTGCGTGAAACTCATCAGCAGCAGTGGAAGAAGGTGGAGGATAAAAAGATGGCCGCTAAATGGAGGCGAGGCAGATACTGGAAGCCCGTTATTTTCCAAGGGGGCAATTCGCGCGCGGGAGAGAATACTAAATTGCAGTTTTCTCGTACTGCTGACTAGAGAGACGGGTGATGTGCGGACTTGTGGCTGTTGACTTTCCTTTCAAAGCCTAGGCCGAATATGCGAGACCCCAGAGGGGAAATATTCCCATGATATCAGATCGATGCGCTCCGCAAGGTCTATCGAGTAGTGAGCGAAAAGAGGAAGAATGAAAGAAAGAACGAGGCCGACATGGTCAAGGTAATAGAAGAGAGGACATGATCTGGAAGCCCTTGTTGTTGCCCCCTCTCTCTATTTCTCCCTTCCTCGACCACTCTTCCCCCTCCCTTTCCTTGACGCCCTACACAGTAGTGAAGAGGTCGACCGCCTATTTGTGGCACTGTCACGTTTCCGCTTCCTGACACGCCCTTCTCTGCCTCCTTTTGCCCCCCCCCTTCTTTATTGAGATCTCTCAGGATGAGGGACTACGATGGGGCCCCAAAGGGGGGTCCACAAAATGAAGTGGGCTTGTCCGGACGCAGGGTAGATCCCTAGGGCAATCGGGAAGAGAAATAGGCCACCGCGAACTAATCAGTCCGTGTGGGGGGCATTATTGCTGCAGGTCAAGGTACCTTAGAAACGTGCGTCCAGGCCTTGTCATAGCCCGTATTTTAATGGTCCGGTGTCCTCACTCTGCACAACGACGTCGCTCGGTGTGTGGTGGTTGAGTCTTGGCAGGGACAATAAGACGAGACTGATCGTGAGAGATGTCACCGCAACGGAGGTGACGGGCAGTCGTAAGGACTCGTACGATGCTTGATAACGAGGCCGTGTCACCGAGACAGACACTTCCAGGATGCTCGAGAACAGATTTTCAGGTGGCGCCGTATGCCTCAAGCAGCGATTGCCAGTCCCCCCCTACTTAGCGTAGACTGCTTCCTGCAGAGAAAGAATAGGTACCAACCACTACGTGTCAGCATTGTGGGTGGGTGCACGGCTCCCTAAAGAAAGCCCACAGCACCAGGATCAGGGTACCGGTGCTGTCACATTCGTCCAGCTGCAACGGATGATGACATGAGAAGTGTCTGTATACTCGATACTCTCTCTGTGTAACTGGACACTTTTATGAAGGCTGAGTGCTCGAGCTCAGCTTGGTGACGGGGGCTGTGATGCAGAGCGGTGATGAAGAGCGGGTCTGGCCCAATTCGGTGGTGGGTCCTAAATTGCTTCCTGTCGCTACGAGTATGGTCTTGATGAGGACCCAAGGGCGGCTGAAAGGAGAGCGAGATTGAGTAAGAAAAGACAGAGACACAGTATAGGTGTGTGTCTGTGCGTCTGTGTGTGTGTGTGCGTCGTTGACGTGGGCCCCGAGTTGGGAACATTCCTAGTGGATGTATCGCGTGCCTTGATCCGAAATCTGTAGACCCGCAGCCACGGGAGATGCCCAAGTGCCCGCTGCTCGCTGCGCAGTGACCACGCAACCAGGGATGGATGCGATCTGGAATCATGTCACCTTGTGTGTGTGTGTGTGTGTGTGTACCATTGTAGAAGACAAGGTTGAGAGCCAAACAAGGTCACACCGTGGGCACGGCGGCAAGTCACGACCATGGCCATCCTCCCTCCGCATCAGGCCAACGTCGTAGCGCCTCTCATCTCCGTTGGTAGCATTGGCTACCACCATAGTAGGCAGCCTGGCATCGTGGGTTGCAAGCCTGGTCCCTGGCGAGGACCTAATATCATGGTAGTACTATAGTACTATGGTAAGTACGTAGTGCACGAGAAGGGGGGAGGGGTTTGCCTTCAGATGGCGGGTTGGCGTGAGGAATCAATTGGGACTAGCCAGAGTTGGGCTGAGGATGAAACAGCCGCTCTTACACCCCAACGGGACAGGGCGACATTGTGGCTTGCGTGTCGGCGGGGCCAGCCCCAAAGCGGCAAATCCGTCGATATGAGGCCCGCGTCAGGGGAGCAAGAACTCTGGAAATTAAATGCCCCTGGGGGGAAGAGAAGACAACAGCGGAGGCGAGTCCCGCTTCACTTGTGGACGTCTCCAGCTCCGGGTCCCCAAGATGCGGAGGATTAGCTGGTGGATGGAGAAAGTCAGCGGCCGGAATTGCATACCATAATGGACGAGATGGGTGATCTTGGTCGACACTATCCTGCTGGGATGTGTCCAAGAAGGGAAGGGGAGGCTGTCGAGATCCACCTGTCGTGGGAAGAAGAGCACTGGCACTGAGCCGAAGATAACAGAGCAAGGTCGATCGACACGCCTATGAGACGGGACAAGGCAGATTCCTCGTCCACCCCTCCCCTTATTGTCAAAGCGGCATTGGCGGGTTGATGACCGTAATTATGATCGAGGTCGACGGCGCGGCCGCTGACGAGAGGCGATGGGGAATAGAGATGAAAGGTCGAGGCTCGCCACAGACGAAGCCTCAGGTAAAGAACCTTGTTGGTGACCAAAAAGTTTATTTTCATGAGCTGTTCTGTTCTGGAAAGGCCCTCGGTACCCCCGGTACCTCCAGAAACGATCTGGATTTGCAGGGCTGGAGAAATATGACAGGTACTCCATACTCCCTGTCCTTTAAGCTCTACAAGTATACGTCTGTGCGAGAACACACTACTGGCATAGCTTGAATAGGTATTGTGTACACAGGGGAGGCACAAGGGCATTGCTTTGTGTGCAGGGGGTATCCTAAATTTTCTCATTTTCGAGCTGATGACAGTCTTTGCAGTGCTGGCAGGGAAGGAGCTAGCTCGCATGAGCTCTTGGCCAGGTGAAGGCGGCTACTACTGCAGTACGTACCAAGTACTACGGTAGCTACCACAGCAGGTGCCCAAGAGCCAGCAACAGAGAAGGCAAGGGAAGGTGGAGGGGGTGAAAAGTGTGTCGTGTGCTGCCTGATTGAGAAAGCTCAAGCTGGAGGGTTGCTGCACCTGGTCTTGAGTCTCTGGCCCATTTGTGCACAAAACCAACCCTCCTCAACTCTCGTCAGCATTCAATAGCCAATGCAGCCCCTCCAGCCACCTCTCTTCTTTCTTTCTTTCATTCTTCGTGTGTGGTGTGTACAGAGGTACTATGGTACCTCAGTACAAAAATTCATCAATGCCACCTGGCAGAACCTAGCAGGAATTTGGTTTAGGGCTGAAGAAACGTCTATGAGTCCGGACTACAATGTTTCACTTTTCACACGGTCTAGCAGACTACAGGATTGGTAACCCTCCGCAACCTCACGTCATGCCTGACCCCATCCAACCTCGACATATCTTTGTTTTGCTATTTTATTTCATTTAATATTCATCATCATGTTCATGCTGACGATGTGGTCAATGTAGTACAAGCCTCACCAGCCATCGTGCGCACGAACCTGGTCCTGTTATACACGACACCCCTCCC